GAGAGATTGTTAAAGTGAGAGACGCTGAAGAGACGAGACGTGAGAAGAGAAGAGAGAAAGTGCATCTCGCTTGGTTTTTCGCTTCTACGCGTCTCGCGCGTCTTTGTTCCCTCACTCTACTCGAGAAATTGGATCTAGAGTTTAGATTTTGCAAAGTCGGTTTAATCAAGTTATTTGGTACTATCCGGTTTATTGTTGAACCGTATACTATAGAATTGAATAGAGAATTACATTTTTGTGTCACGTAAGCATGTGAGAGCGACCTGTTATAAACACGTGTCTAGATATAATTGGCTCGCTTAGTCACAGTCTTACTTTAATCGCGTCAAAGCGTACAACGCATGGCACGCAGAAAAACGCCGTTTCCAAAACAGCGTTTTCACCTCTCGACAACAATCCCTTCTCCTCTGTCTCTCTGCTATTCGATTTCGTGAATCCATTTTCTGAATTATTTTGCTTCCTTATTTTATAAATGTTTTATCTTCGTCTCTCCATTGTTCCTCTTGCGTAATACGTAAGACAATGGCGTTTATGTTCTCAAGGAGGAGGAAACTATCGTTTGAGATTCTCAGCGAAAGCACCTCCTTTGAGGATGATTCACTTCCGTCAATCCGCCGATCAAGCTCAGATCCGATTAGCGGAAACGACGCTGCGGAATCGCCTAGGGACGACGGGAAACGAAGGAGACATCGGAAGAAGAAGAAGAAGACGAAGACCGAAGTCGAGACTATTCCGGAGAATGGCGATTCTCATTCGGCGGCGATCGCTAACGGTTCGGTAGAGGAATCGTGTGGTGTTTCCGGTGATCTCGGGGATTTCGAGATCGGTGCGGATTTTGGAAACAGATTGACTTACTTTGGCGGTGGAAGTAGTGGCGGTTGCGTCGTAACTCTATTGGATGGGCAAACTGTACACCACAATGGGTTCAATTTCGGCGAGTTAAGGCAGAGGAATGTCAATGGGAGTATCGACGGGAGTAACGACGACCGATTTTCTGATACCGTGACTTCTGATAAGAAGATATACACGGAGGAGACCGGTGCCGAGAGTCCACCGTTTGAAGAAGTACAGAATCAGTTTCCGAGAAGTGAGACTAATGGGAATTCAGTGAAGAGACTAGACACAGAAGCTTCTTTGGACTGGAAGCAGCTTATGGCGGATGACCCTGATTGTAAGTTTCAAACTTTTTGTTGCCCTCTTAGCTTTAACTTTGGTTTCTGCTCTATCCATTTCCGTACGATAATGTGTAGCATTCTTGTCATCAGTTCTTTCTGCTGAGACAAGGTCACCTATGAAGTACTTTTTGGGGGAGATTTATGGTGGGGTCTCATTACGGAGCACAACGACTACTGGGAATGATGTAGAACGCGAAAGAATATACGATACAATTTTCCGTTTGCCATGGCGATGTGAAGTGGTAAAAACCGGCTCTGCCCTTCTTTCGCAGAATGAACATTCTTAGTTAGCTTGGTGTGTTGTTTTGTGTGTCTCAGTTGATAAGTTTGTATGGATGACAATGGAATCTATTTATGTGAGGGGCTACCTAAGCTGAATATCAATGTATATCATGTTGTGTTTTGTGATTTACACAGAGGTTTTTTTACATTGTTAAAGAATTTTAATGCAGCTTATAAATACTGGCTTTTTTGTCTGCGTCAACTCATTTCTGTCATTGTTGACAGTCATGCCAATAAGAGTCGTGCTGATGTTCTGGGGTGCGTTTAAGAACAGGTGAGCCATCTTTTCGATTCTGTCCTGATATTAGACGATTAATCTGCTATAAACTACACTGTATGACCAAAATGTGTATCTTTGAATCAAGTGTAACATGCCTTGATCATACTATTCGCTATTCACATAATTCTGCTATTCCCATTATGAGAAAGTAACTTGATAATATTTGTGGCAGGCAGTTCAGGAGGCCCTCCTCGTCGGAGCTGTCTGATCTTGCTTGTTTTCTAGTTTTGGCTTCTGGTACCATTCTTCTCGGGAGAACAGGTGAAGTAAAAAGCTCTTGATTTTCTTAAGCTTTTAAACATATACACTTCTGTTGTGATACAATGGGTTGTGTAGGTCATTACTGTAATTTGTTTATCATTAGATGGACAACCTCAGCACTTCTGTTGAAAGAATGGATTTGTCTTTTCAGCTCGTCAAAGTGATGAGGAAATGGATTGTCGAAACAGTTCTCTTATGTGTTGCTCTGACTTTCTTGTCTCTTTTTGCTTTGTTCCACAGATATCAGCCTAATTTATCACATGATTCGTGGCCAAAGTACCATAAAACTATATGTAGTTTATAATATCTTAGAGGTAACGTATACACCCCTTTAAGAAGTTTTTTGAATTTTTTCCAGCTCTGTGTTTTCATGTTTATTTCACTTTATTCCCTTGTATCTGTTACATGATTTAGTTGGTAATCATTGCTTCTGTCCAGTTTATTTTCTTCTCTATCCAATTGGTACTAATACAAATATTGTGTTTCAGATATTTGATAGACTCTGCCAAAGTTTTTGTGGAGACGTATTTGGGGCCCTGTTTAGTTCCGCAGCGGGACTGGCTATTTCCCCTCCTGAGAAACTGAGATTTTGTACTTGGAGATTCGGTTCTGACCTAGCATTAACTATGGCTGCCTCAAATATCCTCATCATTTGATTGCTAGTTTGATATCTGTTAACTACTTCCACATCTTTATTCTGTTGTCTCCTTAACTGTCTTCACTTCTCCATTCGTTCATTTTATTAGCTCAGGCAATTACGTTGTCAACTTGTATTGTTGCTCACAACAATGCCTTGTTGGCCCTTCTGGTATCAAATAACTTTGCTGAGATCAAGAGCAGTGTCTTTAAGCGCTTCAGCAAGGACAACATTCATGGTCTAGTCTATGCAGGTAAGCTTTTACTCCATTTCCCTTTGTGGGATTCTTGTATCTTGAATAATAGGCCTTATACGGTCTGATCATCAGCTTAATTCTTAAACTTTCTCAACCTTATTTCAAGATGGGGTCTGGATTGAGACAGTAATCCCAGATTTTCCCTCTTTGGTTTTTGATTGGTATCTTTTGGTTCCCGTACTATTTCTCTACCAGATTCGATAGAGAGATTTCACATATCGGCCTTCTTGGTGTCTGTTTTGGCTCAAAATATTCTCGAGGCTGAAGGTCCATGGTTTGGAAACTTTATCTACGTAAGTCTACATACATTGTCTGGTCGACATACAAGCCTCTTTCTTTCTTCCGAATTGCTCATACGTAATTTTACTTGGACTCTGCAGAATGCTACTATGGTCTTCTTCTGTGAGATAATGATAGACATCATCAAGCACTCATTTCTTGCCAAATTCAACGGCATCAGACCTATAGCGTACTCTGAGTTTCTTCAAGCTCTCTGCGAGCAGGTATATACAATATAAGCTTCTCTCTCACTCTCTCTCTCTCTCTCTATGAATTCTTTTGCTGCGTTGGGTGTTGTGTTTCTTATATTCATTTATCCTTCTCTGGTATTCTTCATCGTCAGACTTTGGACATTCACCCGGAAGATAGAAAGACAAATCTCACCTTCGTTCCCATTGCACCCGCTTGTGTGGTATATTCCTCTTCCTTTTTCTACCTAAAAACTCATGAAAGGCAGGTTTGTGGTAATATGTCAAAAAAGGAAAAAAAGATTGAAATAAGTGAATGTTTTTGGGCTTCAGGTTATCCGGGTACTGACTCCAGTATATGCAGCACACTTGCCTTACAGTCCACTACCATGGAGAGTGTTGTGGTTGGTCTTCTTATTCGCCATAACATATATAATGCTCACAAGTCTCAAAGTTCTCATCGGCATGGGACTTAGGAAACATGCAACTTGGTATATCAATAGATGCCGAAAGAGAAACTCCTCCCATCTACACAACGATTAGGCCCGCCTGTGACTCTTAGATTACAGAAAATGAAGAAAGGTTTGCAGAGGTGTAACATCTCATCAGGAGGATGGACTGTGTGTAGGACAGTGAAGCAACAGGGTTTCACTCCTTCTTCAAGCCGAATTCACAACTTTGTTTTCGGCTTTGAGATCATCTTTGTGATCTCTTATACATGTTTAAATATTCGATGAAGCGATTTTGGTATTGTTAGGCAAATATGTACAAAGAGACCTCATGGATCATTTTACAAAACAAAAGCTATCACAGACAAAATAGCCATATTGTTCTTCTTCTTCTTCACAATAAAAATAGTCAATACTCTTCATCCCATTTTCAGACTTGTAAAATCTGAACATGAATCTGACTTGTCAATTGTTATGCGACGTGGATCCAAGGGAACAAATATGTATGGTTCATGTGGAACACGTGAAACCGTTCATGCAAACTTTGCAAACCATAAAGGCAAAATGAACAGAACAACTATCACAATTCACAAATGATGCAAATATTTTATGTACATGTAAAACAGATAAAAGTTTTGACTATTTTTTGTTCCTAATGCACCAATACATTATGGATTTAATGGTTTTGAAAATGTGAATCTAGGAACATGCGTACATAAAATATGTTATGATTATTATTATTTATACCAAAAAAGACATATATTATCATCATTGGATTATTTTTATGAAGTACGGAATCGACTTATTAAAACATAACAAAGTTATTATGTATTTTATTAATCTTTTGAATGCATGAACATGCTACAAATAAGTCAAGACAGTAATTATAACACTTTCAACTAATTACTTCTAATTAGCCAATGCTTTGATGGCCATCTTTAAACCAGCGGCACAATCATAAGGATTATATGTCCCGATGTAATAGCTATCACCATAAGGAAGTTGGATCCTATCGTTACCGGAGTCGTACTCTTTCGATCCATCGTTCGCCATACAGTTTTCGTAACCGGTTCGGTTTACCACCACCATATTGCTGGTTAGATCATCGTATTTGAATACTGCAATGTAGTAACACACCACAACTCATAATATAAATCTATTGTTAATGGACCAAAATAGAGCCACTAAACTGTGAATAGATTAGATTGTTTTATCAATCACATGAAATTTGCTAATATTATGGATACATTACCTAGAGTATCGCCAGCGTAAAAGGTCTTGCCTCGTGTCCAACTGTCCATTGGAATAACCAGGTCCCAACCGAATTCGTCTCCGACGATGTAGGTGGCCGGTCTTCTTCGGGCATGGGTCACGTTGTTTGCTAGAAACAGGCATAAAACCGTCACGACTATAGCCATTGGAACCGTAGCCGCGACGTAAGCAACGTGTCCGGATGATCGAGCCATTTGGGACAATAGGTTCAAAGGTTTTTGGTGAAGTAGCCAAACACCTTTGTGTTTATATTTATATAGACTGTTAATCGATATATTTTCCATTTTAACTTCGTAGATTTTTATCTTTTTTCCATTGAGGAGACGTGTATTTTCTATGGTAAGTCATACTACAATTTTTGTATAAGTTAATACCTCAGTCAAACGATTTTTTTTTTGTATTTATGGATTCTATTCAAACATAATGTTGTGGTCAATTCTTTTGTCAACATTATGTTGTTATTCTTTAGGTGATGACTAAACATTAGTAACTACTTAAAATCAATCATTATTTTGTTAATGATCTTGAATACAAATTATCGATTAATAAATATTGATAAAATGTACTAGATGACCAACTTTATGCTCTTATTTGCAAGGATGATCATTCACTATTCTAGTAATTTTTTAATACGATAACACCCATATTAGCTATATGACTAAGTTGATTTGAAAGAGATATGGTGTCAGAATAGGGAGGATTAGTACACGCTTTTTCAAAAAATGTCATTAATACTAAGCACTGTTCAATTTTTGAAAACACCCTCTCGGATATTATTTGGTGTGGTGTCTTTGAATTCCGGAAACCGAATACTACAGTTTATAAGAGTGATTTTCAACCGTTTTCAGTATCAAAAACCGCTTGAATATATCAGGTATTCCCAATTTTTCACTATCGCTGAATTACTTATCTATGTCATTTCATTTTGTGTTGTTATGCTTTTCTCTCTCCAGCGATTATGGAACTAGAGTTGTCGGAAAGAATTTTTACCGCCGGTGAAGATCTTGTCGGCGACAGAGTTAACTGCTACCACAAATCCAAAGCCATCAATAACATTATTAGCGCATTTAATGAGGATGAGAGAGAATTCTTGCACAAATCGCTTTTGGGAACTAATTGTGACGGCGGAGAAGCCCGCTCTTTTCAAAAGTTTTGGCCATTACATCATCACGCGGTTAGGGTTAGGGTTTCACAAAGATTCAAACTCATATATTCAAAAATAAATTCACAAATACAAAATTAAATTAAATTAGCAAAATTTTAAATTTAGTTTTAAATTTTGAATCCAAATTATATCGTTGACATTAATACAAACCATATACAAATGTTACAAATATGGTTTTATTGAAAAAAACTTAAACTTACATTTACGTCCGTTCAAATTTTCTTGTTCCTCTTTCATAACGCGAGCGTCGTCAACGTCATCATGACAAACCCTAGATTTCTTGTTGGAGAAAAAATCCACTTCACCGGGAATCTGATGAAGACGAGGATGATGGTGATACGAAGGATGTTGCTGTCAACTCTAGGCCGGAGGACATCACAAACGTAGATATCGATAAAATCCTCCTGGTAACAAAACCATCATGTCGTTTGGAGACGACGAATGTCGGCCTTAAGCCATGCCACACTAGAGAGATAAATGAAGAATGCAAGATTATGTGTGATATGGCCACTGTTCAATTGTTACACATTTTCTTTTGCTTCAGATAACTGTTTTATTGGGACGCTAACAGATATATTACCCGCTAATTGGTTCAATAGGTATCTGTGCTAAGCATTATCCCAGATAATTCTGAAGCTGCAAGGGTGGAAGCCGACCTTACCTGGTTCGATGACAAAGATGATCCCAAGGTCAATCATATGTTAGACCTTATTGGAGAAGATTTTGAATTCCGGAAAGATATGTTTCATGGTGGACGGAATCAGGTCGAGCTGACTAAGATTTGTTTGGAGAGGAAGAAAACCAGAGAACAGAAAGAAAGGGAGAAAGAGAAGGCACATGAGAATGTCGTAAATATGGCTTCGGTAACCTTCCACTCTTGCTGAGCTACTTGCAACGAGGGTGAAACAGGAGTTGGTGTCTGTTGAGAAAAAGATGTCTGTGGCGATGGATAAAATTTCTGCAATGGAAAATAATGTTTCCAACATTGGGGATGTTATCAAAACTGCCATTGACCAGAGATTTAAAGTCATGCAGAAAAAACTTATATCTAACATTGTCATTTATTTGGACAAATCTATATCGGTTTGGACAGACAGGATCTGGCGAAAGATAGCTCCACGGAGCATGCAAGCTCAATGAGGAGGAGGCATGCTGCTAATACAGGCTCAAGGAATGGGACTGAGAAGGACAAACAGCTGGTAGATGTTAACGCCACCATAAATGACGCTACTTATATAATTTAGCAAAAATTAAAATTTAATTTTAAATTTTGAATCCGAATTATATCGTTGACATTAATACAAACCATATAAATATGTTACAAATACGGTTTTTTAAATTTATATTTCAATTATACAATTTTATTGAAAAAAAATTAGACTTACATTTACGTCTATTTGATCATTTTGTTCCTCTTTCTTAATGTGAGCGTTGTCAACGTCGTCACGATAAACCCTAGATTTCTTGTCGGAGAAAAAATCCACTTTGCCAAGAACTTCATGGTTGTTTTCACCCTAAACAGATGTGACTGTTGTTGGTACTATCGCCTGCTGCTTTCGTAGGTCCTAGATTAATAATTGTCTCGAAATTATCGTCTCCTCAGGGTTTTCAGCAGCTTCTAGTGCCTAATCATATAGGTTCATCAATGTTAATTGCCTATTAATCATCTAGGGTCAATTCCCATTTGCTTGTGGTTAATTATTCAGTCAATTGTTTAATTACTTTGTTCTGTTGTTGTTATTGTTGCTGTTGCATTACTGAAACAAGATGCATCTGAAGTGAAGTGTAATTGTTGCTCACTTGTGTAAGCAATTCTCTAAGCTTTTTGATTTTCCATAGTCATTTTTTTCAACTCATCTTGTAATTTAACCAACTGTAATTAAGAAAAATATTACTCCTTTTAAACCGGTTTAATATTTTATTATATTGTATTAAACTGGTTTAAAATATTTATAAACCAAATCTTTGCATTGATTACGAATGCACGGTAACTAATTTTACCTCAGTTTTTGCACGCTTATCTTCCATTTCGAAAGATTCTCAATCATCGATCACTGATTGGCCACTCCCGATATTATCCGTGGTACGAATATTCAAAATGCTCTATTCAAAAATAAATTCATAAATATAAATTAATAAAAATTAGCAAAATTTGAAATTCAAATTTAGAATTTGAATCCAAATTATATCGTGGACATTAATACAAACCATATACAAATGTTACAAATACGATTTTCTAAATTCATATTTCAATTATACAATTTTATTGAAAAAAGTTTAGACTTACGTTTACATCCGTTCAATCATATTGTTCATCCTTCTTAACGTGAGCGTCGTCAACGTCGTTACGACAAACCTTAGATTTTTTGTTTGAGAAATAATATACTTCGTCGGAAATCCGATGGGACGAGGACGTTGCTGTCAACACTAAAACCTTATATAGCCGAGTAAGAAACCCTAGTATACTATATTTACAGACATACATCTCACATAAGCACAATTATCGAAGCAATCTAGCAAACATACTTGCATTTAATGCGCGTTTGGCGGGAAACGATTGTGTGGCTGTGATGACCTACACAAAGATATCATAGATGTTGTCTACTCTACATATATCTTTAGCTACCTTATAAAATTATGATATCTTGTGTCAGAAACCAATGAAGGATGTGGCACCCTTTTTTGAGTGTAGAATTGTCTTTGCCTATAACCATCCCCACAATGCTTATATGTTTTGGTAGGATCCTGATCTTATCTGCAAATTTCTCTCTAGAATTGGTTATTGACCAAATTTACTCATAAATCTTTAACTATTTTAGTCAAAATACAAGTATAACCTAATTATTTAGAATTCCATATCAAATTCAAGGAAAAGCAAAATGGAGGCACATGATCCTATTACACTAACCAATAACCTCTCTTTAGATTAATTTCTCTGCTACTGATGATATTGAGTTTTTTGTGTTGTATATTTTTTCTTTTCTTTTGACCTAAAAACTCATGAAAGACGGGTTTGTGATATGTCAAAACAAAAATATTGAAATAAGTGTGTTTCTAGGTAATACAACCTTGTTTTGAGTTTTAAAATCATCGTTAAGCCCTTAGAGATATGCATTAGACCATCTTCACCAGAGTTTTTAACAGTTCTTGGCTCAAAATTATAGGAGTTTTGATATTTACGAAAAACATATATTATCTAAAAACTGCTCTTTAGTTAAGATTTGCAAAAGGTGGGTTCTTACATTACGTGTAGGCAGATTATTAGGCATACATGTTTTTTTTTTATCATCTTTCTCATCAAAAAAAAAATTCTAAGAATCCTAAGTAGAGGTTCAATAGTGGAGATGCTCTAATACAATATAGCTATCCTGTACAAAGTGAGCAAAGAGAAAAAGTATGCACTGGACAAAATAGCTATCCTCTTTTTCCTCTCTTTGCTCACTTTTTATTTCATTTTATTTTTGTTCACAGCACAATAAAAAATAGCGATTTTTTTTTTTTTAACTTGTAAAACAATCGTGGTTGGACCCATTATTCTGACTTATGATTGACAAATTAACAACAGTTCTCTAGTTAACTCTATCTCTGACTCAAATCCCTATTCTTCTCCAATTTATTAGCTTTCCGCTTTACACTTCCTCGATTCTCCACCGTCTGAGAATCATTGCGACAATGTCGGTAAGCATTTTCGATTCTCTGCAAATTTTTCTCTTTTTTGGCATCGATCAGGTTTTGATAGATTCGGTCTGTGTTTTCGCCTTTTCGGACTTTTTTTTTTCTTTTTTTCGCTAGTTCCAGATCTAATTACAAATTCCTTTTTTTTTCCCTCCTTGAATGTGGCTAAGTTCTAAGAGAATTCAGATTTCGGCTACAAATTTCTGAGCCTTTTGGATAAATCTCCCAACTTTACTGTTCCTTGATCTGATGAATTTGGTGATGAAGTCTGAGATCTCTTACTGTGTCGGTTACCTGAAAAAAAGCAACTTACAAAATTAAAAAAACAGAAACTTTTCAGTTTTCAGATTCTGTTCCACAGATTCTTAATTTCAATCTATTCCAGTCTACAGATACAATTTTTCTCTTTGATTCTTTAGTATCAAATTTCATTTGAAATTTCATGGATTTGATCTATCCCCAGGCTGCTTTCAATCATTTGGATCAAACTCAGCACAACATTCTAATGGATTCCCAGTCAACTGCTTCTCCTGTAAGAACAATGTTTCTCTTCCAACATATTTCTTCGTTTCTTCTTCACCTGTATTGAAAGGCTTTTTTTTTATGAGCTTTTCCATTATCTATATGTGTAGTTGTAAGATGTATGAATAATGAATATGCCAGTGTATGAATGAATGTTGGAACTTTCTATTCACAGATCTTGATTCGATTGGTTCCTGCTACTTGTTGCAGGTGAAAACTGTGAAGATTAGCAATGTTTCACTCCATGTCTCTAAGAAAGATGTCAAAGAGTTCTTTTCTTTCTCCGGTGACATTCATTACGTCGAGATGCGAAGGTAAACAACGGTTTGTAATCATCTCTCATCGTTAATTACCAACATTCTCTAATGTTTAAGTCACATTATCATAGTGAGACACAAGAAACTCAGGTTGCGTATGTTACTTTTAAGGATCCACAAGGTGCAGAAACTGCAATGCTCTTAACGGTACATTTCTTATGGTTTCTCTTGGAAAATGCTTAATTTGTAATGTTCTTGAATTTACTACTAACGGTTTAGAACGTTCTTTCAGGGAGCTGTCATTGCGGATCATCGTGTTAGCATTACTCCTGCTGTGAACTACGAGCTACCACAAGAAGCCCTTGCACTTGACTCGGTAAAGCCAATGGAACTCTTTGCTTTATTCGTTGCTTTCAGTTGTCAAGTTTGTCTCCTCTGTTTTGCAGGAAAGTTCGTTTAATGGTTTCACAGTCAAGAGAGCTGAAGATGTGGTAAACATCATGGTGGGAAGAGGTTACGCTCTTGGGAAAGATGCCATGGAGAAAGCCAAAGCATTTGACGACAGACACAACTTGATGCAAAACGCTTCAGCAACAATTGCTTCGCTCGACAATAAGATGGGTCTGAGCGAAAAGCTAAGCATAGGAACGACTGTGGTGAACGAGAAATGGAGAGAGATGGATGAGAGATATCAAGTGAGGGAGATAACAAAATCCGCTTTAGCAGCTGCAGAGGAGAGTGCAATCAGTGCAAGAACGGCTTTAATGGCGAACCCTTACGTATCAAGCGGAGCTTCGTGGTTTTCAAACGCGTTTTGTGCAGTGACAAAGGCTGTTAAAGAGAGAAGTGAAAACGGAGGAGAAGGAAGAAAGGAGATTATCCAACTTGATGACTCTTCACCTAAAGCTCCTGCTGTAGTTCCTGTAAGTTCGGTTGATGCAGATCTCACCAAACCATGTTTCTAAATTTGCACATCTCAGACTCAAATTCTTTGATATGTTTGCTGTGCATATGCTTTCTCTTATCGCTCAAGAAAAAGATAAATAGACATAAACCATATAAGGTGTTGTTACATTCATACAACATTTGTTTGAATCGATTCAAGGAAAGAAAAAAAAGCAAAAGATTTAGGAACTAAGTTGAAGAAACCTCCGAGCCATTGGATGAGTAGCTTGAGAAAGATCATTAGGTTTAAGTACTTCAACAATCTCTCCATCGACAACAAGGCAAACGATATCAGCAACTCTCTGTATCTGCTTGATACTGTGAGAAACAATCACTGTCGTGATCCCTCTCTGCTTCTTGAGTTTCACTATCACATCCTCAATGTTCTCTGTCGATATCGGATCCAGAGCGCTCGTTGGCTCATCAAGAAGCAACACCTCAGGCTCGTTGGCTAGAGTCCTCGCAAGTGCTACTCGTTGCGCTTGACCTACAGATAACTCAGCACCAGTCTTTTTCGCAAAGGATGCATCAAGATCCGCAAGAGTTAGCAGCTTGTAAACTTCTTCTTCACTTAGCTTCTCACCTCTCAAATTCGGACCATATCTCACATTATCCGCAACAGTCCCTGTAAAACCAAACATATCAGTTACAGAGAGTTTCTCTGGAAAAAGGAGCGACCTTTATCTCAATTGTAATCAAATTGATGATCGGAAGAAGAAAAGGAACAAGATTTGATTTTTACCTTCAAAGAGAACAGGAAGCTGGAAAAGCATTCCGACTCTGCGGCGGAGAGTGATGACGTCGATGTTGGTTATGTCTTCGCCGTCCAAGAAAACAGTCGTCTCCGGTGGCTCCCAGAGACGGTTTAGAGATCTGAGAAACGTTGACTTTCCGCTTCCGCTTGGACCAATCACACCAACGATCATCCCTTTCGGTAAATCGATGGAGACTCCTCTCAGGATCAGAGATCCATCATCGGAGACTCTGGTCAGATCTCTTACGCGAATCTTCGGTTCGCCATCAGACAAACAGTCCACATCCAAGAGATGCTCTCGCAACGGACCAACATCGGAATCGCCAGATAAAAGTAATGCCATCGTCTTTATTTTCAATTGTCTGAGCAAAAAGATTGTCCCTTTATGACATTTGAGCAGTAGAGGAATCAGTCAATTTGGTTACGACATTTTTATATTCTTCCACTGCCAATTACTGGCAAAACTGAGAACCAATCTCTTAACATATTTACTTTCAACTTTCATTTTTTTCTTACCAATTGTTCTGATCAATACAATATCTGTTCACGATGAAATCTAAAATTAATAAAGAAATTAAAGGAATTTTCTCAGGATAAAATCTTCAGTTCAGGTCTCCAATATTTTCTCAGCACATAAAAAGCTCAGGAGAACGAAAGTTTTTAAAGTTATAACATCACCAGAGTCAAACTGAGAAGATACCCATCAAATAAATTGTGTTCGATTTAAACAGTTTACGATCATATGATTGAAAAACAGAAAACAAAAAAAAAAGTTTGATATATATGCCTCTATTCAGTTCAGGTCTCCATAGATTTCCGCATGAGTTATCTCAGAAGAACGAAAGTTTATGATTTTGATCATCATCAGAGGCATATATATGTATAAAGTTTGTATGTATTTGAAAGATATTTTCAAAAAACGGTACAGAGAAAGAAGAACGACGAAGAAGCAATGTTAGTGTTAATGTGGATTACATCACTGCGTAAGAATTCATATATAGAGAAGACATTGGAGATGGAAATCAAGAGTTGTTAAATAAACCTAGCTATGTAATTTGTGCAAATATGGGCCTTAGAACAAACCTTTTAAGATGGGCCTTTCCAGCCCAACCCATTATTCAACTACTTCCGGCACTTTTTGTTCTTCTGCTGATGCTGAAGTGTAAGGAGTTCTCAACAGACAAGAAATGTCCTTTTTTTAGTAAGTATTGCTCCAGCGAAAAAAATAATATTGCAGAGCTTACTTTGTTGATTACTAGTAAAAAGTTACATAACAAAAGTTTTGAGGTTGATATGTTCAAAAACCCATCAAGTTTTCTCGTTAATGTTCTGGGGCTAGTGATTTGAAGCCAGCAATCCCATCTGCTCTGTAAGAATCTCAAGATTCCTAGACTTCTCTGGAGTAAGCTGTCCAAATTCAAAGTCATCTTGTTTCTCCATTTCTTCTTGTATCAGCTCGAGCGTACGGCTCTTGTCTACTTCCATTGTTCCATCCTCCTCCTCTTCCTCCACCTCCAATGTCGCATCATCCTTTACTCCTTTCTTCACATTGCTCTTCTTCTTCTTCTTTGAAGGGCTCAACAACAAAAGCTTCTCCCAAGCCCCATCATCATACAGATCAGGTATGATCAACGGCACATGATTCTCATCAAGGCAAAACTTCAACATATCAGCGTTTCTCAAGAAATCGTTTATCTCCTTCGAGCTTGACTTTGCTGTTCCCTCTGATGGTGTCTGGTGGTATGTTACTAAAGGAAGTCCTCTCGAGTTCGATTCTCCTTCGTCTGTAACTTCTTCAAGAATCGTTGCTCCTTCTGCCTTTCGCCAATTGTTTTCCTTTGGCTGAAGCAACTGAACTAAGAGGCTTGGATTCTGCATAACCATAACCAAAAAAGAAAGCATCTCTTGCTGGCTCTCTTCCATTCCTTGGACTCTGTCTTTCAAGTTTAACATTTTAGTGTCTGTGATCTCTTGGTACTGCCTAACTTTGATCAGTTCCTGCGCCAACGCGTTCTTATCGCCTTTCAAAACATCAACTTCTTTCCACAATCCGCTCTTCTCAGGCTTCTCCTGAGAAGCATCAGTCGTAGTTTCCTGTTTATAAACGCTTTTGCTCTCGTCACTACTTTGAACATTTTTCCTCCGGATAACATTCTTGAGTAAATCCTTTTGACCTCTGACAAACCCGTCGTTCGCAAACTCCCAACGATCTGCATCAACTTTTCGAAAACCCTGAAACGAAATAAATCAGAAAACGTTACGCTCGCCACATTCAAGAACCAAAATCTACCCTTTGATCAACCAAATTCTCACTATACGAAATAGAGTCTTCGAGATGTGACTAGTGTTATCTCTAAGTCCTGTCCCCTAGACATTTTAGAGAAATTATAGGAGTTGAATAAAACATCTTTCTTATCACATTCAAGAATCAGGCACGTCTATACAGACGGAGATCGAATGTGCCAAAATCTGCCCTTTGATCAACCAAATTCTCACTATATTGACAATTACATAAAGGTAGAGTCTTCGAGATCTGACTAATGTTATCTCTAAGTCATGTCCCCTAGACATTTTAGAGTTGAACAAAATATCTTTCTTCATCAGCAAGAGACTGACGGTGAGTAATCAATTTGCTAGCAAAGAAAAATTGGAACTTTGCTTAGCACAAAAGCAAGTAACACCACACTAGTCAAATGTTTGTACTTTCAAAGGCTACACAACAAAACTCTGAAATGTGTAAGAAACAGCACAAGAACATCAAACGGGCAAATTCAACACAACAGCATAAAACGTATATAAACCCTCGATTCTGATGGGAGCCAGTTCTAGCAAAAATTGAATACTGAGAGAGGAGAGAGACTAACGTAGATATTGAGCTGACGGATAAAGCTAGAGAGATTGCTGTGCTTAAAGTATTTGGGCAAGAGTTGAACAGAGAAGAGGGTCGTGTCCGAGATAACGAAGCTGTTATCTCCATTACTACTCCAAGAGATTACAGAATCAGTGGAAGAATCATCGACCATCTCGTAGCATTTCCTCAGGAACGGCGCCACTGAAGATGACGAAGACCCAACACCGTCCGCCGATTTCACCATAACTATCGAGAAATTTTCCCCAAAAAAAAGTTTGAATTTTGAATTTTGAATTCTGAATTTCGGAGATCAGAAATCGAATCCCTTTGCCCTAAAAAAGGAAGAGACTTCGGAATTTTGGGTTTAGTGTGAAGGCGATGAAACTTGTGCGCAGGGCAAGGGATCGCTCTCACATCAAACGAAATTTCAAGGAAGAGATCATATGTAGCCAAGTTTAGATATTTTCAAGTCTTTGGCCCCATTCTTTCTCTATAACCCCTGTAGTATCAGATTTTATGTTTTTTGCTTATCAACTATCAGATATTTACATAACAAGCCCAAAACAAACCGTCTTTAGACAAATCAGATATTTAAGAATAATTGAAAAAAAAAAGGAGTAAATAACACAAAAAAATTACTCACACATGTTTAATTCTCACAATTAGCACACAAAAAAAAAACAAATTTTGGTTTCAAATATAAACAACCAATTTAAAATGCTCTACTATCAGCCCAAATTCAATATCAAGATGACTAAATAAGTTTTTACTAATGGAAGAAATCTAAACCTTAAATTGGAATGAAGTTATCCAAATGATATGTTTTTAGTTTTTTGTAATTAGTTTAAAGTAAACCAGTAATTTCACACGATAATATGAGCCATCTTTGGAAAAACACTACTTTTTAACATTTCTATACTATTTTATAAGAATGAAGGAATTTGTACAAAAATTAGAAAAGACTTAATCCGCCAAGATAATTAATCTTGCCAAAAATATATAGAACCAACAAAAAAAAACAAGATGAAGCTTAGATTTTGAGGGAAAATACGAACTAGATGGATTGGTTTTCGTCATTTAATGATGGGATCAACATACAAGGTAAATCACTTTTTCATATCTTTATGTTTTTATAAAGTGATTACGCTGTTTTATCAAAACATTCAGAACATTGGTATAAGTTTTAGGGAAATTTGGTGTCATAACGTAACGACAAGAGCTAATTAGGTGTTGAGGAGCTAATTTTTTATGGGGTAGAAAGTACCCAAAACCCCCTCATTTGCATTCTACTCTAGCATATCTTTATAACAATAACGTATACGTTTTTTCGTTTTTCATTATGTCTAACATCTTTCTCTTTCATCAACTTTAATTCAAAATTTTCCATCGGGTCTTTATAGTCAAGCTTCGGTCTTTGAAATTCAGTCTGAATTTCAAAACACTACTACCTCACCCAGATCCTCTCTTCTATAATTTCTGTGGTTCTCCATCTTACTTCGCCGACTCCGACACGATAAACCGGAGTTTGATACGGCGAGTCACTTACTTCTACCACACCAGTCGTTATACCTAACTAGCTCTTCTCTGAAACTCCGGCAACGATGGACCAATCTTGCGAACCACCGACTTTTTTTCCGCAGCGAAGCTTGAAAGGTAAACTGTTAAGCTCTGTTTTTGTTTGGTCTGTTGAATGTTATATGACTTTACTCGCAGATACCGGTATATGTCGGCGTTAATTTCCAGGAGCTAGATTTCTTAATTTTTCGAAGTTAGATCTGTCGTTATTCTTCCTATTTTTGGGTTCATAAACGTTTGGTTCCGTAGGCCATTTGTCCTGATTCACAGTTTTTGTTTTTTTTTTCAAACGCTTTCCACTACCATTCTCATCCGTCATCCAGATCTGAATTTCAGATCTGAATAGTTAACCACTAAGTATGCCATTTACATTTTAAGCAGTAAATAAGTGTTTACTGGTGACCATATACTGAGTAGCTTACTATTCTTGCTAGTTATAGGTAACCATATACTTGGTAGCTTAATATTCGTTGCTTTTGTTTTTGAAGGTCTGCGTTGTCCCAAGTACATCCCGATCTGATACCACTGACAAATGATATTCTTCCTCAGATTCGCGATGCAGTCGTTGATATTTTTAAAAGAGTTGGTAGGAGTTCTGCTAAAGACGCTTGCTCATTTGCTTGTTCATGCAAATTCCTTAGCCAAACAATCAACGAACCATCTGTGATGAGGTTTCTCAACCTTACAGCTTTCGTGAGAAGGCCCAGTTTAGTTCAGAGCTACCCTTCATTCTTTGAGGCGGCGGTGACATCAGGTAATCCACTTGGTATGTATATCCGCGGTATGAGCAGAATCACTATGGCTAATGATATCGAAGGTTCTCTAAGGTTTTTCAACCAAGCGTCTAAAGCTGGAGTTCAACCGGCGACCTTAATGATGGCCATATGTGTAACCGCATTAGGTCACTACCCCATAGGCATAGAAATTTTAGACCGTGATTTTGGTTGGAGAGCAACAATTGAGCATATGACTCAGATTGGTGAGGAAGTTATGGCTTTGATCGACAAAATGGTGGTGCCTGATGCGCATACATCTTTACCCCATATTGCTGTTGATTTCCCCAGTTGCCGTATGAACCACCAGGGCGGATACTGTGAACTCTGCTACCTCTACGTTCACTACCACCTTGTGAAATTCTCTTTAGATCCATAGGTTGGATGTATTCCGTTTTGGACAATCCAAACATTTATCTGTAGTTGTCACTTCCTAAATGTAGTCGACTATTTATAATTGCTTTCTTTGTAGTTGAATACTCTTTCTAAATTATATCAATTGATTTTATAATTAGTGTAATTGGCTATTTCATGTTGTAAAACGGTATCCTCTCTATTAACATAACCAACGAAATCATTTGCAGCATTTGTAAGTATTTAGGCAGTTTAATTACTTCATATTGAGATGTAAACTGCTTGGGATGAAAATGTAACCGTTTTTTTATTTAAAAAAAAACCGCAATAAAATCTCACATTTATAGCCTCTTTTCTCCTCTCACACCTACGATTTTTTTCGCAACTGTCATTCCCCTCTTTCTCTTCCCTGTTCTCTTTCACATTCCCACTCCCTTTTCTTTAACCTAGAAAGACGCTCACACATCTTCGTCTTTTTGTTTGCGTCGGAAGCGCCGTCCGCCGCTCCGAGTAACAACAACGGTCGCGTGCCACTCTCCATCCGAACCCATCTCTTTTGTGGTTAGTTTTCTTCTCTTGCTTATAGACCAATTTCCATTCTCGTAGATCCCAGCGTCGTCGCCGCCTTCCGTCGCACAACTCCCAATTGAATTGGGCTCTGTTATTTTAAGATTATGAACTACAAGTATCTAATTACCCTAGTAGTCGATTATTCGTCAGGTTGCTTGTGTAGGGTGAGCCTAATTACCCTATTTCATTTTGGGGATTTTTCGGAAGTACAGATCTATGTTTAGTGCCGCTTCGGTTACATTTTTTTCGAATTGGGCTCTGTTATTTTAAGGTTTACGGTCTACAAGTATCTAATTACCCTAGTAGTTGTTTATTCGCCAAGTTTCATGTGTAGGGTCAGCCTAATTACCCTATTCCATTTTGGGGATTTTTCGGGAGTACAGATCTATGTTTGGTGCCGCTTGGGTTAAATGTTTTTCGAATTTTTATGGGTTGAATCACTTTTCCAATTACATGTGAACATGGATTTAAAAAGTTTTCGTTTAGCAGTAATTCGTTATGGAGTTCAGATACAACCATGGACAATAAGGTCATCCGAATTTTGTATACGGTCAATATGTACAACTGAATATTTTTATATAGTAGTCAAACACTAATAGACGTTTATGTAATACATTTTACTAATTTCAATTGTTTCATTGTTTTTTTTTTCAGCTGATAAGTTATGACCAGGTTTCCGGATAGAATGTTTGCCCTAGGCAACGAACCGGAGAATAAGAAGGTGAACACCTACTTTCAGCTAACCTATCTTGACACAATCAGTTTTGCTCTCGAGGAAGACCATATGGAGAAGCTTTCATTGTCTCAGTTTGGAAAACTGATGGAAGCAGGTAACAAGATTGCTTCATCAGTTAGATTCCTTCACTTTATCTTGTCTCGGCAGCTAGTTACGAAGAAAAAAAAAGAGCTTTGGTGTCTATTCGCTGGCCAGCCAATCCGTTTTTCTATTAGGGAGTTTGCTATTACGATAGGCCTTGATTGCTCCAAGTTGCCACCTGCGAAAAAGCTCAAAGAAGACCAGGTCAATGCCGAGACTATTGAGTTGTTTGGTTCAGAGAAGAATGCGACTCCTGGATGGATTGCAACAACACTTGCTGGCAGACCATACAAGGACAAAGAGACTAGATTTAAGCTAGCTTGCTTACTTCTTATCGATGGGATTGTATGCCCAACTTCTAGGAATGCAAAGATAAGTGCCGAGCACATTATGATGGTGCAGGATGTTGATAAATTTCTGGAATATCCATGGGGTCGCAAATCTTTTGATTTGACCATACACAGCATCAAAACGAGGACGGCGACGACATCTTACCTTTGCCAGCCGCCATGTGCATTTCAGGGGTTTATACATGCATTACAAATGGTTATTTTGGAATGTGCTCCCGCTATTCTCAAGAAGGATCTGAAAGGAAAATCAAGCGAACCTAATTTGGTGGATGAAGAGGATGAGGACGACGATACCCCCAGTATACGTCCTGGTTCAATGAAACCCGTAAACATCTCAATGCCGCATGTCAAGTCTCTTGACAAGTCTCAGAAGGTATGATAACCACACCCAGTATAATATTCATATATATATAGGCGACTACTATTAGTAGATAGTCATTATAACCTAGTATATCAGACATACAAGAACTCTAACGATACATGCTCTAACTAAACTTATTGATAGTCACTTATAAATAGACATTTTGCATAGTAACTGATTACTCATACTATTTCTAGCTGTTATCGATCTAAGAAGTACTGTATAGTTTGTCAAAAATAGATATTTTGCATAGTAACATGACGTACTTGATAGTCAATTATAAATAGACATTTTTCAAAGTAACCGACTACTCTAACTATTTCAAGCTGATATTTGATCTAAGATGTACTCTCCAGTTTGTCAAAAACGATTCATGCTCTAACATGACATATTTGATAGTCAACTACAAATAGACATATTTGAAAGTAACTGACTACTACTAATATTCCAATTTTCAGGTGGCTGTGAAATCAATTTTGCCGGACGACGAGAATATTTTGGATGATACCGACTTGGAGCTGGATGATGATGTCCCGGACGAAAGTGTTGACAACTTGATTGCAACAATCAACGACAGGGTTAAGTTTTCAAGGAAAACTTGGATTGGTGGTGAAAACGCAGGCGTTCATCTAAAGAATCCTAAGGCACCATCTTCATCCTCCCGGAATACATCTTCGGACGGGGAGTTCGATTCTGCTTCGGCTGCGACTATTGATAAGGTTCTAGATGCCATTTCCATCATCGAATCCGAGATAAAAAGCCTTCGCGCAGATTTCGGTGATCTACGTACCGAAGTTTTACCGCTCTGTCCACTTTTAAGCAACAACACCAGACTTTACCAGGGGCTTCATCGGTAGTCAAGCCACCTTCTCAAACAAAGACTAAGAAGAGGGTTAAATCAATTCCAATTCGCCAAAAGCATGTTAGGTTCCAACAGATTTCTTCTTCTGACGAGACTAAGTCATCAGATTCATCTGAAGGCGATGACAGTGAAGGTAACCAAAAACAAGGAATCGGCCAGTTCTTCTACTGATGGCGACGTTGCTGCCCAAGAAGACAGTGTAGAGGACGAATGCAAGGGATCTCGTGATGCTGGAGACCATGAAAGCCAACCGCATGTTGGCGCTCACGATGTCCAAGATGATGCAACACTCGCGCAAAGTCAAATTGCTTCAGTGCTTTCTGATTTATCCGCAACTGTCCAAGTAAGTAGCCAACCAGTAATAGTTATATACGTCAACATAGTCATATACTTATGCTAGAAAAACCTGTTTTGCAGGTCAGTGTAGATCCTTCCGAGAACCAGCCATTTGATCAAGTCAGTGAACCAAGCCGTGTGAACCCAGTTCATTCACCCGTTAATCATGCCAAGGAAGTCACGGATCAGGTATGTCTTTACTTTTCATATATTGTAAACATAGTCGACTTCTCGATAATTGTCTACTTTTACTCACAATATAGCAAATGGGAGACGACGGCCAAGCAAAAGATCAGGTTCGTCTAGCTAGTTGTCTACTTTACCTAAATAGAGAGTAATAGTGTAGTAGTTATATACATAAACATAGTCATATACTTATGATAGAAAAGCCTGTTTTGCAGGTCAATGTAGATCCTTCCGAGAACCAGCCGGATTTCACTGTCAACAAGCACCTGTTGTGGCAACCGAGCAAACAGACGTCAACAAAGATGCCCCCCCTAAGGAGGTATTTACAGATATGCTAATTAATTACTATTTTCATCAAAAAGTCTCCTACTATTTTCCTCACAAAGTCTCCTACTTTTATGTACATACTGTTTTGCAGGACACTCCGGAAGATGCCTTGGCTGCTGTCGAAGAGAACCAAGTTATTGCCCTGCTCGACCCTCGAGTCTCATCCCACGAGCAGGTTTGAGTTAATAGTCGTCTATTTTTATAAATTAGTCAACTAAGAATATGCCGTGCATCACCAACTTTTTCAAACACAAAATGTAGGTGTTGGGTGATATTGATCCTCCTGGTTGGTCTCTTGGTCTCACACAGGAAGAGAAGAATATGGCTCAAACCTCGAAGAAGGGTGAAGAAGCACAGCTACCTACTCGTAAGAGTAAACGACTACCCGTGCCTTCAACACAGATGTCCGACTTTGTAGTCCCTCGACCTAAGCGTGTTAAGAAAAATGTGAACCCATTACAACTGTCTCACTTCTTTCCAACACCCAATTTTGAGCAAGTAATTCTCCTCCAAAATAGGATGAAGGACAATCGGTGAGTGACATATTATTGGTTGCTTTGCTTATGTTGTTGATAGTAAGTGTTAAATTCCCCAATATTTACCGTTTTTTATAGGAATTTGCCAAGATAGGATGGCGTAACCCTCTCTGTGAACATCTTGAAAGAGATCGTGGACTTAAAATTCCCGATTTCAGTTGTGGTAAACACTTTCCCAATAGTTGTCTACTCTCACTTTTTAGTATATGACTACTAATTTGTGTTTCATGTCTATGATAGTCCATCGACAACATCATTAGGTTATTGCGTCATCAATTGTCGAAACTGAACGACGATCAATGCACTTACGATTTCGTTGAGTACACGTTTCTTCATGGCATCATTCAGCTCCATCAGCAGTTTACCAATCCCTCTAAAAAGAAACTTGTCGCACTCCCATCTGGTTCAGCTGCGTATGTGAAAGCGAGGCGCTCATTGTACACACATGTCGCTCGCATTTATTGCCCCTACCAAGTCGACGACAAATACTGGGTGGGCCTATGCAACGATTTTGAGAGCCACGATATTTACATACCAAATGTCTTTGCAACCCTAAAAGAGCTGAAACTCAAGACAAGCGTCGCACCACTCGCGCGCGCAGTCTCTACCACATTTCATCAGGAGAGTCGCTTACAATTCAGAGATGAAAGCCGACGATCTCACGCCATTCACAATAAAAATTGTGAAACCAATCTTCCAAACCTCGATATCTGGTATTCCTACTTACACTTGGTCATCAGATATGTCCTAATCGACTACCTAGTAATCATTTATCTTTATTAATGTTAAACTCAGGTCATCTCGGTGTGCTGGCACTTATGGCTCTTCAATTGCACGCTGCGAATATGTCTCTAGACATTGTTGTTGCTGATGACACCGCACGAGATGCATCTCTGAAGTTTGCTTATGATCTACTCTGTTTACTCGAGCCGCCATCTCTTTCCGACGTCGTCATTCCACAGGACCCTACTAATTGATCCTTTACCCACTCTGTTTTTTTAGTTTGCATGGATTTGAACCCCTATGACTACTCTTTGTATGATACTATTATGTTATCTATTGCTATATGAATTTGTGTTTGTCAACCTATTATAACGTTGTGTTGTTCCAATTTTCCTAATTAGGAAATATTTGTAGTCGACTTTTTATTACATTGTAGCTGACGTCTTCATTACCACATCGTACCGAGTCCGAAAGAAAATAAACCGTTACCCATAGCTGACTACCTACACCATATCCAAATGAATCGTAACTGAAGAGATTCAAGATACATTGCTGACTTATAAAACTCTTTAGACTACAAGTATAACGAATAAACATCTATCAAATATTTGCCACATTGAAATCATTATAGTCAACTTTACATTACATTACAGCTAACGGCTTGTTGATCAATCGCAAAGTGTCAAATAGTAAAGATTAAACAACTACCCATAGTCAACTATCCCATATTGACTATTCGACGCAGTGTAAGTTTAACGTCTACGATGAGTCCCCTAGTAGTAATCAACTACAGGTAGACAGCTTCTACTACTGATAAACTGATAAAACAACCAGATGAAACATATTTAAGAACAGTCAAACTCCAAATAACATCTGATATGATACCAAATCCAAGCATAACAAAACATGTAGGGGAGACCCAAAAGTAATTGAGGCATTACAAACCAAAACACAATATCCAGATAACATATTCCTAGGATGCATAGTAGCAAAAAAGCTTCAAATAAGGAGGAGCTAAGACTTTACATAAAATGTAGTCCCCTAACTTCCATTTTTGAAGTGCATCATACCCGATTCCCCCTGCCTCATCTCCCATTCATCCCTGCCATTTTTCTTACCTTTCATGCACCGGAAGCTTGCATGACGCTTTGTTGTGACCCTTTCCAAGACACCTGCTGCAAATTCTCGCCGCCTTCCTCGAACGCCTCTGTGTAATGTGGAGAATAAATAATAGACAGTTATTTTACTGTAGTCACTAACCAATAATCGTTTACAAGTAGTTACATATTATGTTAATAATAAATACCTTCAGTTATCCTCGTGATGGGATCCTTGTTTTCCTTGGACGACCTGGGGGTCGGCGCATTAAAGGTGGAAGTAGTTATGTGCCTCCAGAATTTACAGGAGTTGGTACCAGATGGAAAGCTCCCTCGTAAAGGGATCTCCTGTACCTTGTGTTGTACACCTCTCCAACGAGCTTCTCAAGCTCAAGTGTGCTGAATGAACTAGCTGTCATTGCATGTCCGCACGGGATGAGAAGCATCTGAAACTCCCTGCAGCTGCATTTCTTCAAAACAAGGTTCACTTCGAATCTGTCCCCATGTCTGTTGTAAACTTCGTACTCATCCTCTCCGACAACAACCACCTACAAATAAACATAGTTTTTTATAAGTAGACGATTATTGGTAGTTAAATATCAACGGACACTTGTATTGGACTATTTTAACCTTCAGCTCTGTGCTATCGTGAAAGTTTTCGTCCATCATGTCACGCACTTTCGGATTTATAGGGTGTTGTTGTGCGGCAGATGCAGCTTTCCTCCTTACAAACCAGCTGATAAGACTCATCCTAATGGCCTCAAGCATTGAGAGTAGTGGAAACTCACGGCACTCTTTCAAGACTTTGTTAAGGGACTCAGCCACATTTGTTGTCATTACATTGTACCGCTCGCCGAAACAGTACGCCCGAGTCCAGTGTGGCAATCCCAGATCCACTAAGTATTTTGCACAGTTTAGACTCACGTTCTGCAAATCGGCAAAGATCTGCTGAAACTCGTACACGGTATAAGCTTTAGCAGCTCGAACCATAAATCCTGGCAGCCGGCTTTCCTTAAAACGCGTGGTGATGTTTCTTGCGAGATGCACAAGGCAAGCACCATGGCCGGCATCTCGGTACACCTAAAACAACACAAGCCAAGCCATACATAATAACCAACTATATATACTTACCTACTATCAAAAAGTAATAGGTTGCAAATAGTTGACTAAGATTATACCTTTCTGAGTCCTGAGTATATGCTGTCGTGCCGGTCCGAAACAAACATAACATCTCGGTCATTGGGAATGATTGTTTTCAAGCAATTGAAAAACCATTCATAAGAAGCATCATTCTCACTGTCCACAACCGCATATGCAATTGGGTAGATCTGAAAGTTCCCATCTTGGGCACTGGCACATATGAGACAACCCCCATATCTGCCTACCAGATGTGTCCCTGCACTTATACATAGGTAATTAAAGGTATACTCAAGTAGTCAACTATGGAAGTAGTCAATCATTTGTAGTCAACAACTTACCATCAATTATCACCAGTGGTCTTAAGTATGGTAGTCCAGCAATAGATGCAGCAAAGGAGATGAATAGGTACTTGAACCTTTGACAATCATTTCTATCCACCCCAAATTCTGTTTTGCAAAATGTCTCTGGGTTAGAGCTTTGCAGATTCTCTAAATAGGAAGGGAGCAATGCAAACTTCCAGACACTGATCCAAACGCTCTTTCCAATGCCAATTCCCTGCATCTCCAGGCCTTCCAATATAAAATGTTGACCTACATTCAAACAGTATACACATACTCACACAACCAATTACTTTCACTAGATAGTGGACTACAAATAGTAGTTTACCGTTCACCAAATACCTGGAACTCCTGAAGCATTATTCGCTGGATTTTGATAGGAGCGGGCCCTTTCTGTCCTGCCACAAATCTTGTTTGAATCAGCTCACCAATCACTTGTGTTGTGGCCTGTTTGTGATATTTCCGGCGGTCTTCAATAGGACATGTGTGTTTCAGCTTGGCCTTCTTAATTTGGAAGTTTCCTGTCGCATCCATGATGGAAGCGTATACCCGCCATGGACATGTTGGATTAATGCAAAGGAACTCCATGTAATTGGGTGTTGATCGTGGTGTCCTAAAGTGGAATTTTCTGTTAATGGCGTGAATAGCCAACTTAATCTTACACTCCACTTTGTTTCTGAAGATTCTGCCAACAAAAATACCATCACCTTCATAGCGCAAGTGTCTCAATGCACCGTCTATCCCTGCACACCATATTTAGGTGAAATACGTTACTACTATCCTACTATCCTGGTAAATAACTACTATAATAAACATTTACCAGTAGTCAACTACATACCATCATCAGAAACTTCATCGACAACAGGGGGAGCATCTCTTCCAAACATCGCCGGAAACTCTTCTGTCTCAGAGAAAACACCATTAATCGTCTCGTCCGCAAAACTGTTCCTGCTTGAATGGCGGCTACATTCTCCCTTTTCGTAAACCGGCATTTTAGCCTTGCCTTTCCCACGATCCTTTCTCGCCGGATTGATTTCCTCCACTGGGTCCTCCATCCCATCATATTCCACGTTGTCACTGTTACCCAGATCGGATTCTTCAAAACAGTTCTCAAACTCCGGCTCCTCGCCAGCCAAACAGATGACAGCCAACTCGTCCACCTTCTCACATCCCTCTCCTTCGGAGGACTCTGCCAAAAGTAACGCACTACCCACTAAACAATCTTAACTAATATAGTTACCTACCTAATAGTGAACTATTTTATGACATATATGCCTAACATTTGGAACTAGCTGACTACTAACTGACCGACTACTATGTACTTCATACCGTTGTTGTTTGCGACATTTTCCTCCGTTTGGTTGTTAACCACCAAAGGTGAGTCATTTCGTTCAGGAATCGCCACACCTTCATCCGAATCGCCTTCTGTTGTGACGCACAGGTTCAGCTGGTCGATATCTGCCCTCATCTCCACAAAAAGAGCCACTTCATCATCGGAAGACATCAAAACCGGTGGCGCGTCGCGACCGTCGTCCATCAGCAGCATGTATGACGGCCACTGGAAGATCAGAGTTACGCCCACATCTTCCTTGATATCCATTTTCTCTTTCACGAGCTTCACTACCTCACGAAATGTCATCCTCGCGCTAAGGAATACCGCTTTGGTATTCCCAGTCCGTTCCGTTAAGAAAGTCCACACGCCGTTGCTCTGTTCGAACCATTTTCCTTTCACCAACAACACCATTTATCTTCCTGCCATCTACATCAACAAGACCAATGTCCAATAAGTATGTAACTACAAATTAAAAGTAGTCACATTAGTGGCGTACAAGTAGTCATACCTTTCGAACACAAACAAGTAGACAAACCCTAGGTAAATTGTTTACTAGCGGCGGATTATGTGAGTTGTTATCTTCTTCTCTATTTATTTGATGGTCCTGAGGGTCCTCTCCCTAAACCTATCCGTACAACTCTTATTACACGACAACTTATTTTGGGGATAAAGTTAACGTTGTTAGTGTTAAAAAGGGAAGGTAGCGTCTGCGAATTAGCAAGCTCGTGTGGTCCCTGTCCCACTCAGAAAAAGCGTTGTCTACTTTTAGGGAGCAAGGGGTATACTGTAATTTCCCTCCCCTTTTTTGGTTGACTTCTGTTACCAACTTAATTGACTGCTATTCGCAGTCATTCGCCTAATTAGCACTCGCAGAAGTAATATTGGTGCAAATCACCCTAAGTTTTATGTTGAGGACTAGCTAGGCGAGTTCAAATTGTTGTAAGAAATTGAATCCCATGTGTGTGCCTTAATCACTACACTAGCCTCAACCTCAATAACATCCTTTCTTATCAATCTATTTTTGGTCAACTCCGGCATGCATTGGGTTTAAATGTGGGTTTGCCTTTTTTTATAAGAAAAGTGAATAAACCTTAATTTCTACGATAATTCAACTGATACACGCATGTGTGGATAATTGAAGAGATACTATTGCGTTGCCCATGGGGACGGGGTAGCCCCGACAGAACCACGATTGACTACGAAGATGGAAAGAATTGAAAATACATTGTACCAAATTAAAAAGAAAAGTTATTGTACCGATTTATATGCCTATGCAAATCGACTATCCACTTGCACCACTCCACAACATCTTTCAAGACTTCCCAACTGAAAAGTAAAATATATTCACATCAAGTACGATCAAAATATTCTTAATGTTGAAAAGTTGTAGAAAAGATACATAGATATCTGCCCTTAATTTTGAGTCTCAGACGCTTTTACCCTTAGCTGCTCAATTAGTTTGACTGGTAGTAGAACCCAATACTGACCAAGTGTACATCTTTTTTTTTTTGTTCTGTTAAGACCATTTGGACGTATCTTTCGTTTATAAGAAAGACACATCTAACATTCCACACTATCACGAACTTATCTCCTCCCTTGATCTTTGGAACTCCTCTAATGCTTTCCTTTGAGATGAGATCATTGAGATTCATGATGTTCATGTGGCCGAGTCACTGATGCCACAGCTGCAGATGCCACAGCTGCAGATTATCACAGGCAGTAAAACAGCTCATAACCGACCCTGACTTGTTCCACATGTAGCAGTTGTTGCCCGATCTTTCTCCAGCTAGGATAATTTGTCCATCATCATTCACTGCTCTGTATCTTTTGTTGGTGAATATCACAATCAGCCATTCATCACACAGTTGACTTATGCTGATAAGATTCGCCTTAAGTCCTTGTACTAGGTATACATTGACTAGATCAGGCTGACCTTCGTCTTTTGTAATGCCTTTTCCTTGTATAGCACCGACACTTCCATCACCAAACGTGACTCTTCCTCCCTTAATCTTCTTAATATTTTGGAGGTAGCTCCGGTTCCCAGTCATGTGCCGTGAGCAGCCACTATCGAAGTACCAAGGATCTGACTCGTCTTCGTCGCTCTCAACTTGAGCCATGTTGCACTTGAATCCATGCCACAGCATTGACATTGGATCATCCCTGAAGGATCTCTTGACAGTGAATTCTCTTGGCTTGAAAGAATTCTTCTTCTGTTGTCCCTTAGGCTCGAACCTCAAGTCCTCTTTCCTGAGCCAGACTTGATTTGTGGGTCCATTCCAGCTGAACTTCCGTTGCTTCATTAGTTTCTGAACCCTGTTCCATCTGCTGTAGCAGTATGCCTTGATATGTCCGATCTTGCCACAATAATAGCACTCTCGTCCTTTTCGCTGTTTGGTGACAGGTCTTTGATCTTCAGGCCGGTTGTACCCTGATGAAACAAACTTGTTTTCATCTGAGCTCTTCTGTTCCTTTCCATTGTACCCCAATCCATGCTTCGTATTGCCGTGGCATCCGTAGCTCAGGATCTTGTCCAGTTGCTTGGTTCCTGCGAACATCTGAATCTGCTTCTTTAGCTGATCTAGTTCTGACTCCAGATTCTCCGATATCCGCTTTTCAACCTTTAAATGCTGCCTCAGACCTTCAGCTTTGTTGGCTAACTCAAGCTTCTCCTTGATCAGATTGACATTTCCCTGGCCAAGTGCATTTGCTGCTTCGAGATCTTTGCTGAGCTTGTCTACTAGTTCAGACAGTCTTTGGTTTTCTTTCTTCAACTCACTGTTTTCTTGGTTGAGACTAACCAGGACATGTCGTACTTCCTTGTAGCTGCTCATGAGATCATCCTCCTTTTCTTCTTCAGGCTCTGACTCTGACTGCTGTCCCTCCTCAATTTCAGCAATCCCGATAAATGACACGAAGTTGTTTGTCTCTTCGACTGAGTCATCTTCTGAATCATCATCTCATTCTTCCTCAGCCAACATGGACTTGTCCTTCCTGCGATTTTGATTGTTGACACATTCCAGCTGAGTGTGTCCAAATCCTTTGCAGCCATAGCACTGAATCTCCCGTCGCTTGATAGTTGGGCAGTCATTCTTGAAATGTCCATATCCCTTGCACTCATGACACTGTGCCTCACTCTTTCTGTTAGGCTTGTCCCCTTCAGTTGTCTTCTTGAAGGAAGCAACCTTCTTCTGAGATTTCCCAGTTTTCCGCAAAGCACGATCAAACCTCCGAACCAGAAGACTTATGGGATCGTCTTCCTCATCTTCAGTGCTACGGTTTTCACACTTTAGAGCCAAACTTTTAGGCTTCTTCAGACTGTCTAGCTCCATCTCATGAGCTTTCAGCAAGCCCACAAGTTCACTGAATGGCATGTTCTCCGTGTTACTGGACACACTGAGTGCTGATTTGTACCCCATAAACCTCGATGGCAGACACCTCAAGAATTTCTTCACCAGCTTCTTGTCCTTGTATTTCTTGCCTAACACCGCAGCTTCTTGTGCCAGAGCACTCAGTTTCGAATAGAATTCAGAGATGATTTCATCCTCCTCCATCTTTAGATTCTCAAAGCGAGAAGCAAGCATGTCCTTTCTGGAGTTTTGAACCTTTGTTGTTCCTTCGTACTGCATCTGAAGTATGTCCCATGCTTCTTTGGCAGTCTCAACACCTTGAATCAGCTCAAAAGTCTTCCTTGAAATGTTGGTGTGAATGGTAGTCAACGCCCTTGAATTGTACTTTGCTCTTTTTGACTCTTCTTCAGTCCAACTTTTTCTGGTTTTGGATGAAAGACTCCGTTGGCATCAGCTACCAGTGGTTCTTCCCATTTATCAGTTACTGCCTTCCATGCCAATGGATCGATCCCTTTGATCATGGATCTGATCCTAGCTTTCCAAAACCCGTAGTTCCCATCATCCAGGATGATCCTGGAGTTGTTCACCATTTCCTTATAGCTCTCCATTTTCTCCGCAGGATCTCACCTGTTTGTAATACACACAGATGATCGCTCTGATACCAAATGAAAATGTAAGAGTAGTAATACGGGAACTAACACAGAACACAACACAGGGATTTTTCTCTTCAAAGATACTTCACTAGTAAATCTGTTTGTAACTTACAAGTATACAGAACCCGATTTAGAGCAACCTCAAGACACGCCTTGATTTGCTACACTAGTCTCACTTGTTCTTGAATCGATACGTGATTCAAGAACCTCTCACCCAAATCCCTTAGCACACTAGCTCACAAAAACTCTCACAGATTTTCGCTCACCCTTTGCTAAGTATTCTCTCAGTTGTGTTTAAAACCCTACCTAGCTCTAACACGCCTATTTATACTCAATAGGACTTGCAGCTGATCCTCGCCTAGATTCTCCTTCGGATTACACCAAATCTTCATGAAAATTTTCACCTTCCTTATCTTCTCCTAAGATAGAGGAAACTCGATATTGTTTTCATAGATCCTCCAAGATACTCCAAGCTTCCTATCCACGTCAGCTTCTCGTCTCTTGAAGTGTCCAGCACGTCCTGCAGCTCCAGCTCAGCTTCCAGCTCACCTCCACGTGTGTAGATTGCTACACAAGTCTTCCCGTATCAGTTCCAGAACTAGTCGGACTGCTACACGCGCTGCTTCAGCCTTGTTTGCATCTTCAGTTTTGTTTGGTTATAAAAAGATCTATGATTCATAAAAATCTGTGCTTTTGTTGGTTTGTGTTCGTCACAGTACACCTTGGAAACGTCAGCGTATCCAAGAGAGCACGAGTTACTCAAGGAACTCCGGAAAGCTACTGTCCAGAAATATGGCAATTTGTAAGTCTTCGTAATCACTAGTATGTTATAACCACTTTCTTCAAAAAAAAAATTAAGAAGTTGAAGAACAAAATTTACTGTACATATTTTTCTTCTAGAAATGTCAATACACTTTGTGTATGTATATTTTTGTTTTCTAGAATTTTCTCTTTTTTGAAAAACGCAGAAGCGAGATGGAGGTTCCAGTTGATGAGGGTCATCTTTTATCGATGCTTTTAAAGATCATGAATGCTAAGAACACTCTCGAGCTCGGTGTTTTCACCGGTTACTCTCTTCTTACCACGGCCCTTGCTTTGCCTGAAGATGGACGTGTAATGCTTTTTCTTTGTCTTGCTATAAATCATATTGTTGTGACCATTTTTTAACATGTGCAAGTGCAACCAAAACATTCTAAAAGACGCAATTACAAAAAAAAAAAAACATTTCTTAATATATTGGCCCCTATACTGTTTCGAAAAAAAAAAAGTCTTCTAACATATTATTCGTACCTTTAACATAAATTTTACACTTGACCTACAAATAGTTTGAGAGGTCATAGATAGGTGGGAATGGGATAACAAAAATATTGTTATGGATACTCTTTTGGATATAGATTACTGCAATAGACATCGACAAAGAAGCTTACGAAGTGGGACTAGAGTTTATCAAGAAGGCAGATGTTGATCACAAGATCAATTTCATCCATTCCGATGGTATCAAGGCCTTAGACCAATTGGTGAACGACGTAAGTGATATTTGACTAATTATTTAGCTATAATTAACTCTTTGTGGCTAATGGTCATACTCGTATACATATAAAACATGTTATTTTAAGCTTTAATTCTCCTTTTGGCTAATGGTTGTACTCACATACATATACAACACTTGAAAATACAGAAACAAGAGTTTGATTTTGCATTTGCGGATGCTGACAAGTCAAACTACGTTAACTTTCATGAAAGGCTTCTGAAATTGGTGAAGGTTGAAGGAATCATTGCGTTCGATAACACCTTGTGGTTTGGTTTTGTGGCTGAGGATGAAGAGGAAGTTCCAGAGCATATGAGGGAATATAGAGACGCTCTTATAGAGTTCAATAAGAAATTGGCTTTAGATCCTAGAGTCGAAATCTCTCAGATCTCCATTGGAGATGGTGTCACGCTCTGCAGGCGCCTTGTATAATCAAAATACACCTTAATAAAGATTAAGACAAAAGTTTGGAACAAAACTGGTAGATGCTTCAATAAACACTTTTTTCGTTTGTGCTTTTTTTTAGTTACTAAGTTTCTTGTAATGGTGTGTTTGATTGATGATGATTGTTACTCTACATCTTCTTCCTATATTCAACTATTGTACAATAATATACTTTCACAAGTCTGATAATAAATCAGATTATGCAGGAGTTGAATGTCGATTTTTTTTTTTCATTATTGGTCGTAGTCCACTGGCTCATTTGGTCCACTATACGATGCTTGGAGTCGAACTTCCATGGACCATAATAGAGTCTTTTGCACAGTCATCATATAAAGCAAACATTTAGATACATGGGATGAACCTAAGTAAGAAATGGGTAATATGAACTAAGATATAAATAAGAATTAAATATAAATATGAACAGAACACAATCCCAAAACTTAGAGCATAAATATTTGGTTACAAACGATGAAATTTTGAGACCAAAACATATTTATATTAAAGTGATTGGCGTTAAGATCAACCACTTATATAATCAAAATCTAATACGTCAAATTGAAAATAAATATAACTTATGTAGAACGGTTGTTACAAAACTATTAGTTCATAAACCTTATTATTCAATGTTTTCCAATAAATAATAACTAATTATAAAATGATAAATTATATAAATGAATTATGAACTATAAAAGTTGTATATAGATGGAATATTTATATTTTTTCAGCTTGTTGAGGTAACATGTAAAAGGTGTGTTATGATTTATGATCGATCAACTATTTTTTTTTTTAATAAAACACATGCATATGCAGTTATGCACACTCAATTCCATATTTTCTGCCAAAATTACATATCCACCAAAATGATATGACACAAGTTTTTTTCCCCTAATTAACTCAGCTGATTAATTCTTAAGCTAATATTTAAAGCCAACAGATACATGTGCTAAACTCAAAAGGGATTCTCAAGAGGGAGAGAGAGACAAGGGAGAGATGGATCATTCAATACCTGACAAACAAATTCTCAAGAGCGAGGCTCTGAAACAGGTTTTGATTTACTAGAAATGATCTTTGATTTACAAATATATATTTCATGTGCTCGATTTGCATGATATGTTATACATGTTTCGCCTATGGTGACAGTACATCTTGGAAACATCAGCGTATCCAAGAGAGCCCAAATTGCTTAAGGAACTTCGAGAAGCTACAGTCGAGAGATATGGCAATATGTAAGTCTTCTAGTACAAAACGAATACGAATAACTAATATTTTATAACTATGTAAGGTTAGAAATGATAAAGATGAAATGTAGGGATAAACTTATAAAATAAGTTTTATATACTTGAGCTGAAAACACAACTTATCGAAAAATATGAAACAAACGAAATTCTCTAAAGTCCTGTCTAAATAAAACTATGATTGATAAACTTATAAACGCAGGAGCGAGATGGTGATTCCAGTTGATGAGGGTCTATTTCTCTCGATGCTTGTAAAGATGACGAAAGCCAAAAACACTATAGAGATCGGTGTTTTTACTGGTTACTCGCTTTTCTTCACGGCTCTTGCTTTACCTGAAGATGGCCGTGTAATTATTCCTTCTTCTTGCTAATCATGTAAAAAAAAATACAAAGGTTATAGTTAATGATCATATCGCGGTTAATTAGTATCAAATTGTTCCTTTTGGATGCAGATTACTGCCATAGACATTGAACGAATCGGTTACGATATGGGACTAGAATTTATGAAGAAAGCAGGTGTTGATCACAAGATCAATTTCATCAAATCAGATGCTCTTAAGGCATTAGACGAATTGGTGAAAGGGGTACGTAAAATATTAAGTTATTTCATATTTTAGGGCACAAGTTCTATAAAATAAAGGAATCTTGCTAATAAAATAAGACTGTTAACATGCATGGCTCATGATGAGAATGAGCGGGGTTTTAGTACAAGTCACAATTTAATTACTACTAAGCTAATCAATAATATGTTTTGGCTAATGGTTTAGGAGAAACAAGAGTTTGATTTCGCATTTGTGGATGGTGACAAGAGGAATTACTTTAACTTCTTTGAGAGGCTGCTTAAGTTAGTGAAGGTTGGTGGAATCATTGCTTTCGACAATACCTTGTGGTTCGGTACCGTGGCTGAGGAAGAGGATGAAGTTGAAGATCATATGAGGCTATATAGAAAGGCTATTTTACAATTCAATGAGAAAATCGCTTTGGATTCTCGAGTCGAGATCTCTCAAGTCTCCATTGGAGATGGTATGACGCTCTGCAGACGCCTTGTGTGATGAAAACGTATTGTTATCAAAGACCAATACGTATGGAATAAAACAACGTGTTATGTGCTTCAATAATGGTCTCGTTCTTTGTTTGCAATGGTGTGTGTGTGTTTGACTCATCTTATTGCACAATAATAATAAAACTGTTTCTTGCTACACTTTCCAATGCTACATTTCCATTTGGGATGTGTATTGTCAAATTTCATTACTTGTGGTGAAATGTTGAGAATATTAAAAATTTGAGGGTTTATTTTGATAATTGTAGATAAACATTGACATTTCTAAATCAGAAATTTCCACTTTTTTGAATGTTGAAAGCGGCCAGATTGAGAAAATACCTGGCAATGGCGGCGAATCTGATTCGATTTGGCTTGGATTGAAGAACTTGAAGCTCTTCTTTTTGACTCTCTCTACAGATCTCTTCTTCTTCTCTCACGTCTAGTTCCCCCACAACTCTAACCCACCCGTTTCCAAGTGAGTATTGTTCGATTTCGACTCCAATTTCGTATATTTCGCTCTTTCTACTGAAATTCAGATTCTGGATTTACCGGAGATGGGTTCGGGTCTTTGTGCATTTCCGGTGATGGGTTATGAGAAAAGTTTGTACTTTTTCGTTTTCCTCCTTTGCTCTGTGTAGGTGGATCGTTGGTAAAGATTGTGTATCTTGTGGGGAATTGATATTGCAAGTCAACGCTTGTGATGGCTAAGAAGGAGAGACCTAGACCGCAAAAGTTGTCTGTTTACCTTTATATACCTAATATTGTTGGTGGGTCTTTCGATATCTCGTCATCTTCTTTATTGTTCTTTATTAAGCGTGAGAGTGATTGTTGTTGTGATGATTACTGATTGCTTTAGGGTACATGAGAGTTATCTTGAACTGTGTTGCCTTTGCTGTGTGTTTCTCCAACAAGACACTTTTCTCGCTGCTCTATTTCTTCAGGTGAGACTTAAATCTGTAATTTCCTGCATCCTTGTTCTTTGTTTTTGGGTAATGGCTTGAACAGTGTTTTTGATCAATGTGGCTCTTCAGCTTTTGTTGTGATGCTGTGGATGGCTGGTGCGCTCGTAGATTCAACCAAGGTTATAAGAATTTTCTCTGACTGTAAACCGTATTGTCTTATTGTTTTAGAAATCAACTTTTCTTAGCATACAGTGATCAAGATTGGGACTGATTTTGCTAGTGTTTAGTTTCAATTGCAATTGCAATAACATGTCAGTACTATAATATGTTGGAAGCTGGAACTTGACTCGGTTCTCTTTCTTTTTTTCCTCAGTTTCAACCTTTGGAGCTGTTCTTGACATGGTCACAGATAGGTGAATCTTCTTTAATATATATATGCGAGGATCACCATACTTTACCCGTTCAATTGTTTCTGACAATTTTTCTGGTGGTGCTTTGTTATAGAGTTAGCACGGCTTGTCTACTCGTGATTCTCTCTCAAGTCTACAGGTAAGGCGATTTCTCTGTATCTTTTATTCCTCGCATCTCTGGAGTTAGAGTTGACTGATTTTTACCTAATGGAATGCATTTTTCTTTCGTCTTTATTCTTTAAACAGGCCAAGCTTGGTCTTCCTTTCATTGCTGGCTTTAGATATTGCTAGTCACTGGCTGCAGATGTACAGGTACGATAAACCACTCTTTCTTGTTGCACCGTGTGGTCTTGTCTATACTTTTTAAACTCCTGATTTTAACTGGGAACTAATAATACTCTACTCGCAGTACGTTTCTAGCAGGGAAAAGCAGCCATAAGGATGTGAAAGACAGCACAAGCTGGCTTTTCAGACTCTACTATGGAAACCGGATATTTATGTGTTATTGCTGTGTTTCTTGCGAGGTGAGTGACTTTGTCTCTGAACCGCATGTAAATCCTATGAGGTGATGTCTTCTTAGACGCAAACATTTTTTCAAACGTGCAGGTTCTGTATATCATCCTTCTCCTCATTGCAAAGAACCAAACCGAGAACCTCCTGAATGTTAGCTCCCTCCTTTTCCTTTCTGTTTAGTTTGGCTCTTACTTTCTACTCAAATTACTAAGCATGTCTCTCATTGCAGGTCGTAGTTTCTACTTTAACTCAGATTTCACCACTCTCTTTTCTCTTGGCTTTGACATTGTTCGGTTGGTCAATGAAGCAGACAATCAATCTCATTCAGGTAAAGCTAACTTCTCCTTTTTGTTTGGCTAAATCTGCCACTAATCTTCTCATTAGAAAACCTGTTTTTTTGGTTTCTAATTAATTGGATTTTGGATTTTGCCGGATTTTGCAGATGAAAACAGCTGCAGATGTTTGTGTACTGTATGATATAGAGAAGCAGCAAAAGCCTTGATCTTCCTTTTTTTTTGTGAACCTGCGACTCTCTTTTTTTACTGTGTGTAGAAACATTCTCCTATGATTTTAAATGAAAGATGAAAGAATATTGATTTGCCTTTTTTGAGTCTTTGAATTGTAAATATAGATAATCTGATTACAATTTTATTCTCATATAATCTCGTATTTCAATTCAGATTTTGATGCAGTGGTGAGACACGTCAGCATTATCTCGTTCCCAAAACGTAAGGTCCAAAGGCAGATAATGCACCCGAAGAAGTTCTTATCACTCATAGCCACTGAAATCCTCAGCTTATGAACCACACCCAAAAACAAAACAAAAAATTGCAGATAATATATATGCAAAACCGACCGTTGGATTTTCTTTTCGATTTTAAACCACAAAAATTTCTACTGTCTGAGCTAAAAAATTGGACCTTTTTTAAAAGCCAAGATACTCTGTTTCCAAACTCTCGCCACAGTCTTCTTGAAGCTTTTTTCTTTTGTTCTCCGATGGCGAAACCGGTGGCTATTGAAGTGTATAATCCAAATGGGAAGTACAGAGTCGTCAGCACAAAACCGATGCCTGGCACTCGCTGGATCAACCTCTTGATCGACCAAGGTTGTCGCGTCGAGGTAAAAATTTAACTCGATTCTTTCTCGTTAATATTACGATTTTGAGTAAACTCAAACTAAAAGCTTGTCTTTTTGGATTAAAAAGATATGCCATTTGAAGAAGACGATCTTGTCCGTAGAAGACATCATTGATCTGATAGGAAACAAGTGTGATGGAGTCATCGGTCAGGTAATGAAATGAAGAGAGGAATCAGCACACAAGTGTCTATTTATAGCAAATGAAAGCAAAATCGGTTAAGTTTTTTTTTTTTCTCATTTTTTGGTTTGTTATAGTTGACTGAAGATTGGGGAGAGACTCTGTTTTCAGCTCTGAGCAAAGCAGGAGGGAAAGCTTTCAGTAACATGGCCGTTGGTTACAACAACGTCGATGTTGAAGCCGCCAATAAGTATGGGATTGCTGTCGGTAACACTCCGGTAAATTTCGTCTTTCCGGTTTTTGTAACTGAAATTTTTAGTTTCAAGGCAAAAGGGTTTTATGTTCATAACTGTTTTGTTTTGAGTTGGTGATAGGGAGTGTTGACAGAGACGACAGCTGAACTAGCTGCTTCTCTTTCCTTGGCTGCTGCAAGAAGGATCGTTGAAGCCGATGGTTTCATGAGAGCTGGCTTGTACGAGGGATGGCTTCCTCATCTGTAAGATCACTCATTTCTATTCTTTCTTCAGTTCAAGAACTTGAAGAACAAGAGAGCTTGTGTTTCTTCTGAAAAATCAAGAAGCTTGTGTTTAACTTCCTCAGAGCTAAATCTGTTGTGGAATTGAATAGCTTGTGTATCACTATCTCATCTCTATTCCTTCTTCAGTTCTTAGAACTTGAATAACAAGAACTTGTGTTTCTTCCTTCTTCATTCCGGTTTTCTTTTGGCTTCTGAAGAAAATCAAGAAGCCGGTTTAAAGTGGAATTGAGAAGGCTAATATGATTGTTTGGTTTTGGTAGGTTTGTTGGGAACTTACTTAAAGGACAGACTGTGGGAGTTATTGGAGCTGGACGTATTGGATCTGCTTATGCTAGAATGATGGTAAACAAATGAAGCCTCTTTACAATGGTGTTTGTAAATTTGATCCAAATTTATACACACAAAAGCTTCCTCTTTTTTAACCTCTTGATTTCAAAACAGGTTGAAGGTTTCAAGATGAATTTGATCTACTATGATCTTTACCAATCAACTCGTCTTGAGAAATTTGTGACAGGTGCGTCCAGCTTCTACACAATACTCTTTCTCTTTTTCTTCTTCGTGTTGAAGTTTGTATAATGGAGAATGCGTTCATTGGCAGCTTATGGACAGTTCTTGAAAGCAAACGGGGAACAACCCGTGACATGGAAACGAGCTTCTTCCATGGAGGAGGTGCTGCGAGAGGCCGATCTGGTAATGGATCAACTTTTGGTATTATATTTAGTGTATCTCTCTTTAGCTATAAACTGAACTGGTTGTATTTGAGAAAACAGATAAGTCTTCACCCGGTGCTTGACAAAACCACCTACCATCTTGTCAACAAGGAGAGGCTTGCCATTATGAAAAAGGTGACTTTGGTTTTCAATTTTTCACTTTGATCTCTCTCATTATTGATCGTCTTCTGATTGAAGCTAGTTACTTTCAGGAAGCAATTCTTGTGAACTGTAGTAGAGGTCCTGTGATCGATGAGGCAGCTTTAGTCGATCATCTAAGAGAGAACCCGATGTTCCGAGTTGGTCTTGATGTGTTCGAGGTATACGGTTTTGATGTGATGTGATCAACACCAAAAAAAAAAACATAAAAGGTTGTGTTATTTTGTCTGAGAGCTTACAAGTGTTTGTTTTAGGAAGAGCCTTTCATGAAACCAGGGCTTGCTGATATGAAGAATGCCATTGTTGTTCCTCACATTGCTTCTGCTTCCAAGGTTTGCCAACTGAAAACTTATATCTTGTCTTGTTTCTCCATAAATTAAACAGAACTGTCCTAATTTCTTTGTAATGATGATAATGACAGTGGACTCGTGAAGGAATGGCTACGCTTGCAGCTCTCAACGTTCTTGTATGCATTCCCATTCCAAAAAAAAAAAACCTCTTTTTTATAAGATTCATGCAATGACTAAATTTTGTTCATCTTGCTCTGAAAATGTTTTCACAGGGAAGGATCAAAGGATACCCGATTTGGAGTGACCCGAACCGGGTCGACCCGTTCTTGAACGAAAACGCTTCACCGCCCAATGCCAGCCCAAGTATCGTCAACTCAAAAGCTTTAGGTAATGCACTCACTCACACTAGAGCCTTGATTGTTTCACACGCAAATTTACGTACAAAATATTCATGTAAAACAAACTTAAACGTAAACACAAACACAAAACAAAGCATGTCTAATCCACACATAAAAAAAAAAAATTGTCATTAGGTATTAATTACTCTTAACATTATATATTCTTTGGGGTTTTCAGGATTGCCTGTTTCGAAGCTATGAGTTAAGAAATGGAGATTTGGAAGAATGGTTACTAGTGAATATCGAATGGTGTGAAGATGTGTTTGATGTATGTATACAACAACCATGTTGGATCATATATCACTCTTTTAAGCGTTGTTTTTGGTGTTATATTGCTGATTAGTCTTCTCTATTCCATGCATTTGCTTAAAGGATACATTTTCTAAGACTTCCAGTGAAGCATTTCGTTTCTAATTTGAGAATTTGGTAGTGTCATGGATCCACCATTCATTTCGAGAATTAAGCGAACATGAGTTTTTCGACCAAATATCTCCATCAATTTCATCTAGAGTCAGTGAGGTTTTTTTTTCCAACAAAGTATCTGTAAACTGACTATATTCTATTGGCAATAACATAAGAAAACAATTATTTACGACAAAAATTTTAGTACAAAAATTGTATTTCTCAACTATTTGTAATTGACATACATAATTCCCAACTATCGTGATTGCTAAAAAAAATTTCAACTCAACGTTAACCACACAAAATTAAAATTAATATAGTCAACCGTTAACTAAGAAAACGAAAAATGTTACGTTAAGTCTTGTTGACTTTTTATGAGTCTAATTTCGCAAAGTCAACATAAATTTGAAAAATCAATTTGTCAAATTAAAAATTGAAGAATTAATCTGAAATTGTAAAACTTGAAGAATTAAATTAACTAAAATTCAAAAATATACACATAATTGTTAAAGCTTATTCATAACAATGGTGATAATTATTATGCAGCACTAACAACTATTGAATGTGAAAAAACTATTAAATTGTTTGTTCATAACAATTTTAATAATTTTCTTTTAACATTAAAAACTATTAAATTTGAAAAGAGAAAAAAATCAAAACAATTATATAAAACTATATATAAGAACTTAACCGATATGTTTTAACAGTTACAGAAACCTTTTTTTGTATTTAATGTTATTAATAAAGAAATTTTAGTTGAATTTTTATTATTCATGCATGAAAGCCTAAATTACCTGGATCTTACTATCGTATTTTTATAAAATGTATATAGTCAGATTCGAGCTGGAGAGAATGTAGATAGGTCATCGCTTAAGACCACCTATTTTTTGTTTTTTTTTTAATTTCTTGTGAGCCATATTTTTATTTTAGATCAGTAGTTTATAAACCATAAAATTATGTTGTAAAGTATTGTTTATAATTATAAAAATCTGGTTTGTAGCACATGATTACCATCTAAAAGCTACAAAAATTAGAAAATATATACGTTTGTTAAACTAATTTCTAAAATTATTCTTATCTTTTCTTTTGTATTAGTTATTTTGAAAATAGATCGGAATTAAACTGTTTTCAAAAAACAGTATTTACCTGTTTTTTATCACAGAATTTGTTTTTACAAAATGCTATATTTTTTTCTCAATTTGAACTACCATTTTTATTAAATCAGAGCTATATATAGTTTATTTGATTTTTTTGCACATTAAATAGTTCTTAATGCTACGTAATAATTCTCACAGTTGTTATAAATAAATTTTAACAGTTATATGTATATTTTATTTGATTTATATGTATATAGTTTATTTGATTTTTTTGCACATTCAATAGTTTTTAGTGCTACGTAATAATTTCCATAGTTGTTATAAATAAATTTTAACAATTATATGTATATTTTTAAATTTTAGATCATTTCAATTATCAAATTTAAAATTTTACAGATGAATTCTTCAACTTTTAATTTAATAAATTAATTTTTCAATTTTATATTGACTTTGCAAAATTAGACTCATAAAAAGTTCACGAATATAACGTTTTTTATTTTTTCAGTTAACAGTTGACTATATTAATTTTGATTTTGTATAGTCTGAATTGAATTAAGTTTTTACAATTATAATAATTGGAGATTATTTATGCCGATTGTAAATAATGAGGAATAAAATAAATAATTTTTTGAAAAAAAAATATTTTTTTTTGTTTTTCCCATTCGCATTGGGTTCTCAAATCCTAGACGTGTGCCTAGATTGATTTATGGTCTTATGTTACCAATATTATCAGCATAGCTTCTTTCATTATTTTTAAAAACTGGTCTGTATTTTGTATTTTGTATTTTGAAAGAATCGATATGATAGAATATTAGATGATGATAATATTTTGTAGAAGGTTTTTGTACTATGGTGTTAGACAACATTTGAAAGCTGTCAAAAGCAGTGAGATCTCGCCACGTAACACGCTGAACAATCTGTAGGGTGAAATAAACAGACACCACGTGGTGTTTTTGCTGAGACCAAGCAAAGACTTCCAATTTTTAATTATTTTTCTTTTGCTCGGACAGCTGCTTAACGGTCCCACTTTTTCTGGTCTAAGCCACTAACGGATAAGATCAAATAATCAATTCTTGGTCTGAGCATACGTCCCTATTCGCTTTTTTGACCGTTCGATAGTTTCTTCTTTACACACAATCATTTTCCATCGGACGATTCAAAACTCGAATGTTTTTGTATTCTTGTATTTTTCAGGTTCTTTCATATGGTTGTTTCATACGTGTTTCAACCATGTCATATTCAACTACAAATTAATTACTAAAGAATTGAACCACCATATCAGAACCAGATTATAAAAAGAAAGTCTAAGAAAGTAAAGAATTACTGGATTTAATTTATAAATTTGAATTTCACAGCAGAAGTCACTATGAACAGTACATCGTCCTTGTTGACAGTAAAGTTAACAAGCGCACAAGCTTCTGTCTGAGGAAACCAAAGAAAGCTTCTTTCTTCGTTCGTTTATAACTTTTTTCAGTTCGGATTCCAAATCTCATTCTCATACATTAAAAAAGAGCAAAATCAATTGGACATCTTCCGTTTGAAGACAAAGTGCTGGTAAACGAGAATCCTTCTTTTTTTTTTTTCCTATCTCTTTTAATTTCCATTCACCCAAAACCGCATAAGCATTTCTTTTCAACAGTCAAAAAATCTCTTTTTCTTTGTCTACCTCCATTTTAAACCCCACGTTTTAATGTTTTCTTTGCTACTTTGGAGCTGTGAATGATATTCTTGAATATATTCCTTTTTTCTTTCCGATCAAGCCTTGCTTTTTCCTTTAACCTTTCTTTTTGCAATCTCTTCCTCACTTGTCTGAAACCAAAAAACCTGATTTCTTGAAGTCACAATCCAAAAGGGTACCAACAAAATTCTCTCTTTTTTCGCAGTTAATTCCAAGAAGACTTTCTCCATTTGGTTGCAGTAGTAACGAAGATGGTTTCGAGATCGTATTCGAATCTGCTGGAGCTTGCTTCAGGAGACTCTCCAACGTTTGGGCGCATGAACCGACAGATCCCTCGCATCATGGCCGTCGCTGGAATCATGTCCAACATCGACAACGATTCTAAAGAAAGTGTTCCCTCTGATCTGTCTCCAAAAGATCGTATAATCATTGTAGCTAACGAGTTACCGATACGAGCTCAGAGAAAGCTAGAGAGCAACATTGGTAGTACTAGTACTAGTAGTAGTTGTTGTAGCAAAGGTTGGAACTTTTCTTGGGATGAGAACTCGCTTCTCCTTCAGTTGAAAGATGGGTTAGGAGACGAAGCGATTGAAGTTATCTATGTAGGTTGTTTGAAAGAGGAGATTCATCCTAATGAGCAAGAAGAAGTGTATCAAATTCTTCTTGAAAGTTTCAAGTGTGTGCCAACGTTCTTGCCTTTGGATTTGTATACTAGATACTACCATGGATTCTGTAAGCAACAGCTTTGGCCTTTGTTTCATTACATGTTGCCACTCTCTCCTGATCTTGGAGGCAGGTTTGATCGGACTCTGTGGCAAGCTTATGTCTCCGTGAACAAGATTTTCGCTGATAGGATCATGGAGGTGATTAATCCCGAGGATGATTTCGTGTGGATACATGATTACCATTTGATGGTTTTGCCTACGTTCTTGAGGAAGAGGTTTAATAGGGTCAAGCTCGGTTTCTTCCTCCATAGTCCGTTTCCTTCTTCCGAGATTTACAAAACTTTGCCTATTAGAGAGGAGCTTCTTCGGGCTTTGCTAAACTCGGATTTGATAGGGTTCCACACTTTTGACTACGCTCGGCATTTCTTGTCTTGTTGTAGCCGGATGCTCGGTCTTACTTATGAATCCAAGAGAGGATACATTGGACTTGAGTATTACGGTAGAACCGTGAGTATCAAAATCCTGCCCGTGGGAATCCACATGGGTCAGCTTCAGTCGGTCCTGAGCCTGCCCGAGACAGAAAGTAAAGTCGAGGAGCTCATTGAGCAGTACGGTCGAAAGGGCAGGACAATGCTGCTCGGTGTGGATGACATGGACATTTTCAAAGGTATAACCTTGAAGCTATTGGCTATGGAGCAGCTGCTTATGCAACATCCTGAATGGCAAGGGAAGGTTGTGTTGGTGCAGATAGCTAACCCTGCGAGAGGCAAAGGGAAAGATGTTAAAGAGATGCAAGCTGAGACGTATTCAACTGTTAAGCGGATCAACGACACGTTTGGGAGACCAGGGTACGATCCTATAGTGTTGATCGATGCACCTTTGAAGTTCTATGAAAGGGTTGCCTATTATGTAGTTGCTGAGTGTTGTTTGGTAACAGCGGTTAGGGATGGGATGAATCTTATACCTTACGAGTACATAGTTTCCCGTCAAGGGAATGAGAAGCTGGACAAGATTCTAAAGCTGGAGCCGAATAATCATAACCACAAAAGCATGCTGGTGGTTTCTGAGTTCATTGGTTGCTCTCCATCGCTAAGTGGAGCTATTCGTGTTAACCCCTGGAATGTTGATGCAGTGGCTGATGCAATGGACAGTGCACTTGAAGTGGCTGAACCGGAGAAACAACTAAGGCATGAGAAGCATTACAAGTATGTGAGCACACATGATGTTGGTTACTGGGCTCGTAGCTTCCTTCAAGATCTTGAGAGGAGTTGCGGTGAGCATGGACGAAGGAGGTGTTGGGGAATTGGGTTTGGTCTCAGTTTCAGAGTTGTGGCACTAGACCAAAGCTTCAGGAAGCTGTCAATGGAACACATAGTATCAGCTTACAAGAGGACAAAGACGCGAGCTATTCTTTTGGACTACGACGATACTTTAATGCCACAGGGGTCTATTGATAAAAGACCTTCTTCAAAGTCAATCGACATATTGAACACCTTGTGTAGTGACAAGGGCAATCTTGTGTTCATTGTTAGCGCTAAAAGCCGAGAAACACTATCAGATTGGTTTAGCCCTTGTGAGAAGCTCGGAATTGCTGCTGAACATGGCTATTTTCTCAGGTAAATCAACCGAAACTTCTCATTTCAGTACATTACCCTTAAATCTTATACTCAGGCACTATCTGATGACTACACAGGCTGAGGAAGGCAGTTGAATGGGAATATTGTGTGGCAGCAGCAGATTGTTCTTGGAAGCAAATTGCAGAGCCTGTGATGGAACTTTACACTGAGACAACCGATGGATCAACAATAGAAGATAAGGAGACCGCTCTGGTTTGGAGCTATGAGGATGCAGACCCTGATTTCGGCTCATGTCAAGCTAAGGAACTTCTAGACCATCTTGAAAGTGTCCTTGCCAATGAACCTGTGACAGTCAAGCGAGGACAGAACTATGTTGAAGTCAAGCCGCAGGTTTGTGTCACTATCCCAGTCCCCCAAAAAACCTTGGCATTTGTTTCCACTTGTACCGTCATAGATCTTCATTGTTGTTTTTGTTGTAATGCAGGGCGTGAGCAAAGGACTTATAGCGAGAAGGATGCTTTCGATGATGCAAGAAAGAGGAACACTTCCTGAGTTTGTTCTATGCATTGGAGATGACCGGTCTGATGAAGATATGTTTGAGGTGATATGCAGTTCCACTGAAGGCCCTTCGATTGCACCGAGAGCTGAGGTTTTCGCTTGTACTGTCGGTCAAAAGCCTAGCAAGGCCAAATACTACCTGGATGACACTACTGAGATCGTTAGGTTAATGCATGGTCTAGCTTCTGTTTCAGACCAGACCACTCCTGTTTAAAAAATCACAGAAGTATCAGAGACTACTAGAGATCTTTCTTTTTGTAAATTACCTCGGAAAATGTGTAACGAAGAGAGATACTGAGTGCAAATATAATTTTTCTTTATCGACGATCTTAAGAGTTTATGAGTAAAGGCATTATGCTACAAAAGACTAGAACCCATAATGGACTTCTTCTTGTTAACCTCTGACATTAGACTAAGAAACGAAATAAGTCTCTTCTTTGCTTTAGCAACTTCATCTTGGGATTTGATATACTCAGCTGAAGCACATGTTAAAGCACAGAGAGAGCAGTAAAAGTTCCCGGCATCATCGTAAAAAGGCGGTGATTCCACGACACACTTCTCATGAACCATGACTTCGCAGCCATCCCCAGAGCAAAACAGCAGCTTCCGACTTTCTTTGCATTGGATGCATCTGTATCTATTCTCTGAGGGACTTGACACACCACGACCATCGCTTCCGTTTGGTAACACCTCGTCTCTTCTTTCAAGCGACGCGTGGGATCTACTACTAATCTCATCAGCTCCATCTCCAGGGCCATGACCAATTGATTGTCTGTCTACTTTTCTCCCCGTAAGATCTCGAGATGTAACTTGACCAGTCTCTTTCCCATCACTTCTCATATCCTCTTGCTCCTTACGAGGCGATACTCCAGAATCATTCCCACACGATGTCTCTAACATCTGATCAAACAAAACGAAAGTACGGACATAAACCTCAAAAGCCTTAATATTGCTCATGTGAAATAAGCAAATCCAAGAAAAGCCTAATACCAGTTCCAAAGCACATTTTGGCAGGCAAAGAAGTTTGCTTTGGATAAAGGGTCCAAGATTCCACTTTGATAGTCCCGGTGCACCTGGTTTAAGTTCCGACAAGGGTATCTACGGAAAAAGTAGAGAAGGGAAATATCAATAACCAAGCACATGAACAAAAGAAGAAGATATGTAAATTAAACATTTGTGTACCTCATCCAAAATACATTGAAGTACATACTCACAGCTCTCGGACGAATCAAACTCGATCTTTGAGTAAGCATCTGGAACAACTTCTTTACTATGTACTGAAGTAGAACAATCAAACAAAGACGCTAAGCATCTGAAAGCTACCATCTCATTGGTATGTTCACCAAGATAATCAGGAAGCTTAGGACCCATTTCAAAGACATCTGCAAATAAACAGAACAAACAAAAATAACGAAGAATCTCTCAGAAAAATGAAGTCTTGAATCATAAGAAAAAAAAACAGAAAACTGATGGCGAAACTCTAATTACCATGAAGCATCCAAAGCTCAGTTTTGAATTTGGCCAAATACTCGATAACCCAAATCCAGTTATCAAGGTCTGAATCTCCAGTCACTAAGCGATGATATAAAGTTTCTGATTTTGATGAGCTTGTGTGCGTTGGAGGAGGCTCCATCATCGACAGGAAATTAGCTAATCGACAGAGAGAACGAACATTGATATGAATCGTAATTTACAGTGATGACGCCACTATATGATAAACAAAAAAAAATGGAACGAAAGCTTTAATTGAAAATCCCAGACAATGGAACATTTTTTTTTTTCAAATCGTTCCGAGAAAATTGAAACACAGTGTTACCTCTTTTACAATGACGGAAGAGAAGACGAGTAGCTTTTCCGGAGGAGAAACGAGACCACCAAATTTGCAAGCTTCAACCACCTGAGAAAAAAATCCCATCAAGCCCAGGCCCAAACCCAACTTTAGATCCAGAACATTAGGCTAGGCTAAATGTAAAACAACTATATTTATCCAATCAAAATATTTTATTTTTCTAGTCAATCATTCGAATATTCCGCTATTTCACTACTTTTTATTTACATGTCAAAGTTCATTGTTAACTATGTAGATTGTGGAGAAATCAACAAAGACACATTGATAGATAGAGATATAGACAAATTGATTTAAGTAGGGATCAAACAGAGACACATTATATTGATTGGGATATAAACAAATTAAGTTAACATTATCATCTATGATTTGGAATCTTTTGATTTATTCTTGGATATTAGTATACAGAGCATCTCCTTTGGTGATCAATGGGCATATATCGTAGTTTAGCCTATGATTTATTAATTAAATTTGATGCCCCTACGATTACGTAGGTTTTCTCACTTAAAACTCATATAATTCGCTGATCAGCTTCAAATAAACCATTGTCATTTTTAATAGAAAATTTTCAAAATTATACAAACTGTAGCCTTGTACGGTGTGGGACCACTGTCGGTTGTAATAGAAAATCTCAAAATTATGAATCACTGGTAATTTTTTACTAGCTTCTGAGTTTTAAAAACATACAATTAGGAGGTCCATTGAATATGGTACAACGGGAGTGTCTTAGCTCAGGGAATGAGACCAATGAAATTCTTGACGAAAACTGAAGTACTGTAGAGAGGTTGATTTATTAATTATTTCTATTAGTTTAATTGTTTAAATCATATATATTAATATTTCCTTCAAAAAAAACTTTCAGTTATACTCCAATGACTGAAGATTCTGCCTAGTCTATATATTATAATAATATTAATATATAATTGATCATTTTACCTGATTCACAACTAAAATAACGTTATAATCCTACCTACATTTTTCCTTATTTTTCAATCTATTTCACTTCGTTCTAAACAAGCACTAATTAGGATGTTATAGCGCATTCTTGTATTGGGTTTCCGGGGTTATACGTATATAATCGTGTATATATGTCTGTATGTGTGGCTAAACTAATTCCAGAAGAGTTCTTACACTTTCTGTGTGTGTTCTCGGCCTCCTAATTTAGTTAGCACTTATGCCATTCATCTACATTTAAAAAATGGAATCTAGACTTGGTTTTGAGGTTTTATTGATATTGCATTGATAGAGACTAGTAGTTAGCTAACTGAAAAAAAGTAAATGAAACATTTGTATTATGATCACACACACACAAACAAAACAATTATGGGCCATAGGTATATAATTGTTGTGAACTGAGAGTTTAATTAGTCCTTTCTCCGGTGTCGGTATTGAAGAGTGATTTTGACTCTAAGCCAATAACAAAGTAGTAATTAAGTGTAAATTAGTATTCCAATTATTGTTTAAGATATAATATAAGCACTAACTGTTGTTATGTGCATGGCCTATATAAATGATAGGCAACAGACTCTACTATACACACACCCCAAGTACTGTATAGAACAAAAAGGCCAAATTATTATGGGGAAAATAGAGATTGTTCTTAATTCACTTCCCATGAGTGGAGGAGATGGCCCCTTCAGCTACTCTAAGAATTCCAATTTGCAGGTTTTCTTTTTCAGTTTTTTTTTTCCTTTTCTTCGTATCTCATACTCATTTCTTTCTTTTTTTGTCTTTCTCACTCATAGAAAACCTTCACAAAAATGTGTTTTGAATTCGTTAGTTAACGTTTTATTTTTATTTTTGTTATTTAAAATGTGAATTTGGTTTGTAACTTTTGATTCAACGAATTAATTGGTATATGTCAGCTGAATAATCAAATAACAGAATAGTTGAATGATTGAATAACATAAACATTTTTAACTGAATACAAGTTTCAAAAAATAATTCTATAACACTAAAAACTCAATCGGTAAATTCAATTCCTTTATTTAGTCATCAATTTTAACATATGACTGTACCATATAACGGAATCAAATTTTTAATTCATGAAAACATTTAAACTTGATGAATAAGTGCATGGTATATCATTCGATACCAGTTTACTAATTTTGGTTTAACAACAACAAAAAAAAACCTAATAAAGTCAAAAGGAAAAGTTGAATTGTTTTAGATCTCATCCTATTTTAATTTCAATCATTTATTTTTAGTTGTTATGAATCACGTATAAATGAGTTAATGTTATGATTTTAATATATTTTTATATATATATATATATGTGTGTGTGTCGATAACAATACAAATTTCATACAAGGTATTCACATTTGCATATTTTATTCTAAAATGTTAGAATACGAGATGATTTAAGAATATCACCAGTTGATTATAATAAGAAATTATATTTTGCTGGCTATTCGGATTAGTTGGAAGCCCCATGACCTCAACAAAGGAAGAATATAATTTGAGTTCATTTCCATTATCTCCTACATGACCCTTTTTAAAATCAAAACTTGGTTCCTTCTACTGTACTTTTTTTGTAAGAAACTTCAATAACAATATTAAAATGTCCAGAACTCATCGAGCCACACCAAAAATAAAACACCGAAGATCAATAGGCGCGGCTTAATTTTCTTATGAAAAGCTGAATTAAGCTAAAACCTAGAAGAAATCAAAGGGGAAAAGTCAGTTACTAAATCTAGGTTCGAGTATAACATTATGTTTTTTTTTTTTTGGAAAAACGATAAGTTTTTTTTTGTATCAACTAAAATGAGCTTGTTTCGAACAATTTTGGTTTTTGTGAATTTTGCTTTTCCGGTGGTTTTTTACTTTGTTCAAGAATTAAAAAAAAAATCATAATATTTGACTGCTTTTTTGGTATGGACAGAGAAGAACAGCAAGTTTGTTGAAAGAGAAAATAGACAAATTGATAATTGGCAAACTAGATGCGAAAACCCTAATCTCTGACTCCAACAACAGATTCCTTATAGCCGATCTTGGTTGTGCAACGGGACCAAACACATTCTTTCTTGTTGAAGACGTCATTAAATCAGTTGAAACCAGCTTAGAATCAAACTCCCTAAAGACCACAAAACCAGAGTTCCTTGTCTTCTTCAACGACCTCCCAAAAAACGACTTCAACACTCTCTTCACCTCTCTCCCTCAAGACCGGAGTTACTTTGCGGTCGGTGTCTCGGGTTCGTTTTATGGCCGTGTTCTTCCTCAATCCTCCGTTCATATTGTAGTGACGGTGGGGGCTACACACTGGCTTTCAAGTGTTCCAAAGGAGGTCTTGGACAAAAGCTCCAAGGCTTGGAATATAGGAAAGGTTCACTACTCTAATGCAGCGGATGAGGTGGTGAAGGCTTATGGGGAGCAGTTTGGTCGGGACATGGAGAAGTTTCTAGAAGCTAGGGCTAAAGAATTAGTGAGCGGAGGTCTCTTGATTGTTGGAATGTGTGGGATTCCTCAAGGAATGCCTTTCTCCGATCTTGCCGACAGTATCATGTATACTTCCATGGCTGATGTTCTCATGCAAATGCAATCCGAGGTAATTCTTTATAAAATCATCTCAACCATGTAGAAAGTCTATAAATAAGATTCATATAGAATTGTTAAAATAGTGATACATAACTATATCAAACAATGCATTGATTATTTCCAAAGAAAATTCTGAGTAAACCATGGCCTCCTGATATGACATCTTGACTGTCTTTAATTTAACATTTGTAACTAGAGTACTCGATTTGATGCCAAAACATAAATTGTTTTAGTTGTTTGTTGAGTAGGTATATGGATTTCGATTCTTATTTAAAACTAAAAAAGGTCTTTTCAACACATATATTATAGATTTTGCACAAGACATTCAAATAGTTTGAGACGGTCCTACGACAGCTTGTACATTTCTTGCAATATTTTGATTTCAACTTGTGCCAATAACGGCTTTATTGAGTTTATAAGTGAGATATGCATGTAGGGTTTGATCAGCGAAGAGCAAGTCGATACCTTCAACATACCGATTTACTCAGCATCGCCTGAAGAGGTAAAGGTTTTAGTAGAGAAAAATGGCTGCTTCATTGTCGAGTCCATGGAGCTGATGGATCCCACGGCCTGGCTCAAACAGCCAATGAACGAGGAGGATGTGAGGCAATGGATGGTTTGCATAAAGGCAACAATGGGATCTCTCTTCATCAATCATTTCGGTGACCATCTCCTCGATGACATCTTCGACCGTCTCACCGTCAAACTCGTGAAACTAACCGACAAGGTTGAAACTAGCTACCGTGACAAGGTCATGTTGTTCTTTGCGTTGAAACGAAAATGAATTTTTATTTGGCAAGTTATTTTTGATCGGTTAATTCCGATCGAGGGATCAAGGGTATATGTATAGTTTGTGTGATTCATTTCAAGTGGTGTATTGTTTGTAATTCAGCTCCAATAATTTTTATTTATATATTGAAGTATTTTATTTCTTAAACTAAAAAAAAGTAAAAGAAAAATGATATACCTTCATGTTCATTTACATACGAAAATTCATTATAAAATAATGAATAGTTTTGGGTAAAAAACAAATTATATGCTTTTATAAATCCATTCTATAAAAATCCAAAAAAAAGGTAACGTATTTTTTCAGAAAAAAATTTGCGTCATTAATTTCATGCATTTGGTTGAATATCGATCGACCAGTTACTTAGGTAATTGATATAGAAACTTTTAATCTAAAAGGTAGGTACGAGTGCTATCGATGTAATGACTTGGATTGAAACTTGCTTGTTTGTACTATGTTTGTATGAGTTGTGAATGCCAACAAAAAAGTAGTGGTCTTGTGTCACAAATTAATAAGTAGGTGGTCCCAAATATATTTATAGCTGACGAATATATATCATAATTAATAGTAAAATTTAATAAATACAACATATAAAGGCAGAAGTATGGAGAATAATTAATGCATCATATATATTTTTAAGCAATTAGTCAAAGTGTTAATAACCCTGAAAGTGAAGAGATGACTGGCTATTGGGTGAATATGAGGACAATTGTTGCTTCGAAAAGTATAAGTATATTTTAATTTTACTAAAGAAAAATACCCCCTTAATTTTAAATGAATATTCTTTTGCTTAAGAAGTTTATATATAAGTGAAGAGATAAATGACTAATTATCCTAGTACATGTAGGTGATCTATAAACATCATATAAGATTATCACATAAATTTTACGGGTGTTCTTAAGAAAACTATAGTATTTTTTCTCCCTCCAACTGTAATATTTGAAAAACATGTATGCAATCTATGCGTATTGTACTATTGTGATATTTGGATTAAAAAAACGCATATATTCGGATACACTAGGAATTCAATTCGTAACTCGTAAGAAAGCTGTACATATCTCTGTGTCTGAGTTTATTTACTAGTAAACGTTCGTAAGAAATTTTTATCAAAATGTTCGTAGGAAATTTCCTACAATTTTCCTATTATTTAAAATTTTAAAGGGCCAATTTCCTATAATTTATTTTTGTAGGTATTGAGTAAAAAAGAACTGTTTCTTACACGATATTTGTCGTAGAATTTTAGTTTAAAAAGTGAGGAGTAGTGTATGTTTGAGTTCTCCTATAGTATATTGCAGGTTGGTAGTTTTTCATGATCTATATTTCTTAATTAATGTCGAGCGTACTATAGTTTATTGTAAATAGCCTTTAGAATAACTAAAACGAATACTTATTGCTTTTTAGTTCTTACCGCCGCGTCATAACTCATTTAGATTTGAGATTATGCATATGTGAGTTATAAAGACCCAGCGAAAAAATATTAAAAACGTATATGTTTCCATTTATCATGTATAATCTGGACATGTGAATGCCATACATACACTCACTTATCTTTCTAATATGATTGGCATACATACACTCACTTATCTTTCTTATGATGATGATTTGTCATTTTGTCTCTTTTAAGGAATCTTGTCCCCATAAATCAAGACAGGCAAAAAAAAAGTATCAATCTTAAACCAAAAATAAAAAATATATATTAAAGATCTAAAAATAATTTTTATTAAAGAACGTTTTTCAAAATAAAGTGATACCACATATATCGCTTTATAAAATTCTGTTTTTTTTTCTAATTACGTACTCTGAGTCAAAACCTGTAATTTTTTCTGACTCAAAACCACAATTTGTAATATTAGTTTTGTCTCAAGCATTACTTAATCATGTTAATTAGGCTTTGCAGACCTTTTTACCAGTCGAGCTAGCACACTTGGTTACAGAGTTTATAACAATACTAGTTTTGTTTTCTGTTAAAGTAACAATACTATTTAAGCAAGAAAAACGAAAACATGAAACGAAAGGGAGATGAGTATCTATCGTGTGAAGTACACAATTTTAGAATGGGGAAGTTACCGAGTGAGATAGATTTGCGGGCTGTGTTATGTGAACGTGAATGAATGTACCTTGTTTCGTGTTAAAGTCATAAATTTTATAGTTGTATACTTGTATGTATAGATACATCTTAACTTGTGGAACACTAACTCTCAACTAATTTATACTGTTCACGTTAAAGCACATGTAGTACCGATCATTTTTTTCCCTAACGTTTTTATAGAGAAAACAATTACTTATTGATGATTAGAAAGTTCAGATCCATGGAACCTTAACTTTCATAAAAAAATGTGCGATCCACCATGATACTTTTTTGTATATATATACCAAAAGTCAAACTTGGCTCTTTTATGATACCTTAGACTTGAGATGATCAATTGGATATCACCACTAGGTTTAAAAGAAATTTGTTGCTAGGTCTACTTTGCCATTAATTTTCATTCATAAAACTTTAATTACACTCTGTGTGTCTTTGCGATGGCAGCGGAGAAGAAGGGTTTGCGACCGTACCTTTTGGTTGCCTTACCATCCTTCTAAACTCTTGATGCGGTGGTGAATCTTTTGCTGGTTGTGCACTCTTCACTAAGTTAGACCGGATAATCATTTTTCATGCGGCCAAGATGCTGAATATATGTTTGTTCCGGAAGTGGTTTGGTTTCCCTGGTTTAGACCGGTTTTGTACAACAGTTTTCCGGTAATATCCCTATCCCAGGCTTCCTAAGAAAACCGGAGAAATCGGGCATGTTAGGTTGGCCATCTAACCACATTCGGTCAGACGCCTGGTTTGATCCAGATGGTGAACCTCAGGTTTGCTAGGATCGAAAACGCCCAGGTAACAATCAACAACATAGACTTAAGCTGATCTTTCACCTACACCTGATAAGACAAGGGAAGAGGAGGGGTGAGTAATGGGGATTACTCAGTGAGAACCAGACCAGACTCCCTTTCCACTCATTCATTTCCAATTAACATGTCAAGAATAAATCCAACTAGCAACACACATGCATCCTAGCGATGCACAAACAACTAGCAAGCAATTGTGATGTCTCCAACCTTGCCAGGTCACACAGACAGGCACTGCCAGGTCACACAGACAGACTCTATATCGCCATGTCACAAAGACAGGCACCAGGTCACACAGACAGGTTCAACATTGCCAGATCACACAGACAGGCTTCCAGTCATATAGACTCCGGAAGGATCGGTGTACCTTCCCCCACCGTTGAACTACCGCTTTGGTCACACAGACAGCAATAGCCCAGCAAACAAGTCCATACCTCGGCACATCACCACCGAGATGAACATCTGATCTAGCTACACTACCAATCACTAACCACACATCAGGGTGAACAATCAAATATGCTGGTTCTTCCTCTAATGAGATCTTAATTCATTTCATTAGACTCACACATGGATCTAGCTAGATGCACAAGGAAACATCCTAGGCTCATCAGATCTAGACTCCACACACCAGAAGAAGACAAATGAATAAAAAGAAGACCCTAGATCTAATCCTCACCTTAGCAACAAAGTAGATCTGGACGCCTGACACGAAAACGACGATATCTCCTGGCATAGATCTCCGATCTGGATGAACTCGGTCTCCTTGGAAAGCTAACACTCGGGGCTACAGATTTATAGGTAACTCGTCTCGTGGATCCACACGGTTCGCCGGAAAATCGTCATGGAAAAAGGCGGCGGCGGCTAGGGTTTAAGAGAGAAGAAAGAGGGAGCGAAGCTGATGGGAGAGGAAAGAGCAGCGGCCAAGGGAGAGAGGAAAAGAAAGAGAGAGAGATAGAGGGAGAGAGCCACGGTGAGAGAGAGAAGTAGGATGGCGTGGCTGAGAGAAGGAGAAGAGAGGAGAAGAATGTGACTAGGGTTTTCCAAAAATGGAGAATGAGAGATTAGAGAACTATTTATAATTAGGGTTAATTTAGATGGGCTGACTTAATGGGTTGGATTAATGGGCTCGTAGGAGATTAAAAAGAGATTAAAAAGATTAGAATTGGGCTTAATTAGAAATAATAGTTTAATTTAAATAAACCGGGAATTGATTTTTAGTAACAACCGACCCGACGGGTCGGGGTGTTACAATCTTCCCCCTTTAATGGGATTCGTCCCCGAATCCTAGGGAAGAAGTTCCTGGAAGGAAATTCGAAAGCTAAATACCAAGAGAAATAAAAGCACAAGAGAGGAGAGGAGCTTGGTCGCAGAAAGAGAAAGAAGTCAGGAATGAGATCAGGAAATGGAAGCAAGAAATGAAATGGATCTAAAAGGAAAAATCAGAAATAAAAACAGGAGTGAAGAATTCAGAAGGAGATTAGGAATGGAACCACAAGGAATAATGGCACCAGAGAGGATAGAGGCTGAGAGGACAAAGGACAAAAATGAGACCATAAATGGAGCAGGAAAGAAATTAGAAATGAGATTAGAAGGAAAGGCAAAAATAATGTCAGAGGTGGAATCAAGCGGAAAGGCTGAGATGGAATCAGAAAGGACTCAGAACAGGAATTAGAAGTGAACCATGGCACCAGAAAAGATAATGGCTAGGAAAGAAAAAGCAGAAGGAGCCATAGGGCACATGGCGCCAAAAAAGAATTAAAGGCTAAGGGTTTAGAACGCAGAGTGATCAACAGAATCGTGAAGGAGGGAGAGTTTAAGGTATGATGCAATAAAAACATTTTAAGTAAAAGCCAAAACCATTTTATTAATGTGACAAGGAGGAGTAGAACTTTTTGTTTTTTTGTTTTTTTTGGAAAGGAAAAATGAAAACAACTTTTGCATAGAATCTAACTAATTCATAAGAAACCTAAAGCAATCAATAATCCAAACAAATAAAAAATAGAGTTCTACTCCTTTGAAAACTTTTTTTTAATATAAAAAGGGAACAATCAGAGGGAGGACCTTCTTCTGCTTCACTACCAGACGAAATGACGACCATCTCTTTGCTG